GTTCAGTGGGAATCCAATTTGCTATCCCAAACTTAATTTCAGAGGAAATACTATACGCTGTTATTGAAAATCGAGGAGAAGCTTACGGTCACTGTAAGATGTAATGCAGGCTTCCATGTTTACGCCCCACACAGCATCAGGATCATTATCAGAACGGCAAAGAGGAGGCTGAGTTCCAGGTTCTCTTTCCAGATAACAATCATTTGTCAAAGGTTTCTGCCAAATAACAGTTTGGTTCCTTTTTGCCGCGATCTTCCAACACATACGCTCCACAAGAGCACTCATTTCTCTCCAGATTCTGAGGTCCTCTTCATCTTGTGCATATGCCTCTGGGGATGAATATGCAAAATAACCACCAGGTCTAAGTACTCTGTCTAGCTCGAGAAGAAGAATCCCGTCTCTTTGAAGCCAATCGATTCTGCAACGTGAACAGTGAGCAAGTTCAAAAGATCTGCTTGGGTATGGGAGTCTCTTTGTCCCTAAAACACCGAGGGAGGCAGGAATCCCTCTCTCAAGAGCAAATTGGATTTGGTTCTGATGCACATCATTTGGAGCCAAGGACATTGCCAGAATATCCGATGATAGAAGATAACCTCCAAAACTCGCAACACCACAACCAACATCAAAAACTGTCCTTAGCCTTCCACCGTTGTTCAAAACGTTATTCGGAAAGTTAAGCATCTGAAATTTTCGAGAATACAATCAGCGAATGAAGAATAATATACGCTCTCTTGAACAAACACCAAGTAACTGCTCTTACATTTGCCATCGATGCAATATACTTATCAGCCCCATAGTGAAAATGTGTGCCTCCCCCTGGGAAATTAATCTTATCTCCTTTGACAACCATCCAGTTTTGGTCAGACTTCTCATGTGCAAGATGAGTATGAGGTATGTTCACTTTCCACACTTCATCTCTGCTTTTTGGCCATTTAATTGGAACCTATAACATATTGGAAGAGAAAACAGTTATGTCAACGACACTAATCATATCGATATAACTGGAAACATTATCGATAGACACCTTATAACCATTTGGAGGAGGAATCAAGCAATTGAATCGTCTTTCAGGAGGAGGACAATGGCGTTCATAATGCTCCATCAAAGACAAATCCAGCTTCAATCTCATTTGGTATATGAGATTCCTGTCTAAGCAAGGAATAAGCTCCGAATGCCGATCATCACACACCTTTGAAAAAAAAGAAACAACACATTAATATTTTACCACTTGAACCTAACCATCAAAGAGAAAATACTCAAGAAGACTCACAGGAAAACTTCTCGGCGTGAAGCCATCATCCACACCAAATGAGCTAGAAGTGTCATCTTGTTTAGTATCATCATCATCCCCACCCAACCCGAGTTTTCTCCCATATTCGATAGCCGATGCTCTATGATCAGAAGAGCCGTAGAACAGATATACGAAAACAAGAACTACCGCAGCAACGCAAACCAAAGCAATCACCCGCTTCTTTTGCCCTCCATCTGATCTTCCTTTCATTGCCTTCTTATTTGAGATAAAGCCAAACGGAGACCCAACGTTCCGACTTAAAGGATGCAGATTACTAAGTGAAGACTTCAGTTTTATAAATTGATGATTTCTCGCTAGTTACAGATATTTGAATCTGTTCCATAAAAAAAAAAAGACAATGATCAGTATCTATAAGAATTGAAGCAATGAGATTTATAAGACAAGATTAAATTCAGAAACTCAGAACCAATCTTAACCATTCAGATACCAAACCACAAAAAACACAGAAATGTGTTCTACTACTCACTTAGAGAAACTAAAGTACCCAATCATCAACACCACCAAAGAATCTGGCATTTGAGGAAATAAGTAACCATTCAATTCACAAAACAGTTGATGTTCTGTTAGAATTTGGTGTGCTTGTTGTTCACTATTTGGTCCGAATCTTTCCACTAAGAATCTAAGAACAGATCTGGTGTGAGAATGAAACAGAACAGGATCGACCCATAAATATATTATCCACTGGTATATCAATCAAACCATATAAGAATGATCCAGAAAATAAAGAATCATAAAATAGCTTAAAAACATGGAATTCAAATCTAACACAGTAACAACAATAGACATAGTTAAAAGCATCACAGAGCAAAACCAAATTGAGGAAAAAAACTGAAACTTTAAACACAACAGCGAAACCCAAGAAGATCAAAAGAGGGGACTTACACAACCCAAGTAAGGTTCTAGATTTGGAAGAGACAATGACAGATCTCGAGGCAAAAAACCGCAGTGTAATGTTATTCGAAAGAGAGAAAGAAGGAGATGGGGAGAGAGACTCGGATCTGGGTTTGGTTTGTCTATCCTCAAAATTAGGAAAGAGACCAACTTTTTTTGATTCGTGTGGAATGGGAATGAAGCCAACAAAGCGACACTACAAGTGCAAGTGAAGTAGAGAGAGAGAATCGGTGGAGGTCGTTATTTGTTCATCGGTTTATATAAAAAAAAATTTCTTCTTTTATCATCAATTCTAGTTTTTTTTTTTTTGGTAAGTGGACGGGAGACTATGTCTCCCGTGATTTATTCAAAACTGAAAAATAAACAAACTAGTGTACGGGGATTTGCCTTGGCCAAACCGACCCAAGGTTATCCTCTCGCCAAATAGAATCAACAACAAGCGGTACATTAACAAAAGAATGAAAACCAGCGGTAAAGAAAACGCATAGTTAGTTAACCCGTCCGCAAGGCGGTTAGCTTCCCTATACACGTGAACAATTCGGACTCTCCAGTCCTTCGATGTGAAGCCATGGCACAAGCGTACCAGGAACGACAGCGGATGATGATCTGATATCCATGTCTTCAAAAACTCAACCACAATCGCGGAATCAACTTCCAACTCTACCTGTTGCACTCCTTTCTCCCATGCTAAATAGAGCCCATAATACACTCCCCACAACTCCGCCATTGGTGCTGAACATCTCCCTATATTCAGAGCAAAACCGCCACACCAATTCTAGTTTTTGTCGGCGTTCTCTTTTGTTATTTTTTTTTGGGATAATTCTTACTGAAATAGTGAAATTTACCTACCTTGACCCAAATCTTAAGAAAAATAACTAGATTAACACCCAAATATTGTGGTTTACTAGAATAACACAAATTTTGTGTTAAAAGACCAAATACCCATTTTATTTTCAATTCTATTAAAATAAACTAATAAACATATAATAATTAAATTAAATAAAAAATTAGAAAAAAAACAAAACGAAAAAAATACAATAAGAAAAAAAAATTTAAAAAAAAACGAACAAAAAAAATATTAAACAAAAAAATTTAAATTAAAAAAATTATATATATAACGAAAAAAATAGAAAACAAAATAAAAAATTGAAAAAATGAAATAAAAAATACAAAACGAAAAAAATAGAAATTAAAAAAATAAATATATATCTAAAACGAAAAAAACCTTAATCATATATTAATGAGGAGAAAGCCACACATGAGCCATTTAATGTAAATAAATCTGTCGCGGTAAGAATATGTCTGTCATTACCTTATTATGCAGATTAAAATTTTATTTTCATCGATAAAACTGTCATCATATGACAGATTTTTTTATATCCTATCTGAAATCTGTCGTAATATAAAAAAAATCTGTCATAACATAAAACATTTCGGTTGCAAGTATATGTCATTCTAGCAATTTTTATTTTTAAATAACAAATCTGCTATCACACTCCAGATTTTTGTTAAAACAAAAAAAACTGTCATAACATAAAATAAATCTGCTATCACTAATAAGTCAAACTAGTAATTATTTTTTCATTAATAAATCTGCTACATTATGACAGATTTTTATCAAAAAATATAAGTCTGACGCCAGTGAAACAATAAATCTGCCACATATTTGAATAAATCTGTCAAAATTACAAAAGTCTGTGGTGTCATCATAAAATAAGTCTGTCGTAGAGAAAAAATCTGTTACAAATTAAATATATGTCGTAACCTATTTCAAGTAAATCTGTGGGTGACAAAAAATTTGTCGCAAAAAATTTGTCGTAGACAAATAAGTCTGTCATGGAAATTAAATCTGTCACAACTTATCCAGCAGACTTTTCAAATAATTTTTTTTCCTAATATTTTTTGCCCACGTTTTTATTATTTATTTAAGGGTAATTTTGACTTTTTTTTATTCCTAACAAAGAGAGAAAGGGTATTATGGTCACGAAAATAACCCATTTAACCCTTAAATTTTTAAGAAATTCTAGTAATTAAAGTCATAATTTGGGTTAATCTAGTAACTCTCCCAAATTCTTAAGTTGTACACCTGTTTTCTACATATTTGCCAAAAAAAAAAAAAATTCTTTAGATTTTCAAATTCAAGATAAAATTTATATTTTTCTATAAAAAAATCTTTTTAATATGTGATTTTTCAAAAAACCTGAATTTATAGCGGTGTTCTAAAAAACGGTGTAGGCGGTCGTTTAGGTCCCGCCTAGGCGCTAGGCGCTCAGGTGACACCTAGGCGCTCAGGTGACGCCTAGGCGCTTAGTAGACGCCTAGTCGACCGCTTCGATCGCCTAAAATCGCATACGTTTTGTTTTAATGTGTTTTTCTAATTTCTAACTACATAAATTAAAATTATAAGTTTTAGCTCCATTTATATTGTTTGATATGAATTATAGAAATGTTTTTGTCTAATTTTTGTTTACGATTTAATATTTTTATTTTTCTAATAGATAGTTTTATATGATTTTAAGTTATAATATCATATTTATAATGAGTTAGGTTGTAAACGTTTAAACAGCCTAAAATCGCCTAGACCCCGATTAGGTGTTCTAGGAACTAGGCGTTTGGTCACCGCCTGGCGTCTGCTTAGCGTCTAACGCTTTCTTGAATATTGATTATAGATTGTTCTAAATAAGAAATTTTATCTATTTCTCTACAAATTTGAACTTAAAAAAAAAACAAAGTTGTAACATTGAAGAAAATCAACTCTGATCAAACTTGCATACAGAGAAAAAAAAAACAAACATAAACTTGTCGTGATCATATATTTCGACTTCATCACATACATACACATAATAAAAGATTGTAGTTATCTTTCAAAGACAACAAAAAATAGGAGATAGTTTCAACATCTTCCAGCCATAGAAGATATATGATCCTTTCCTTCAAACATGGTATAGCTTAATGACCTGATCAATGTTGGCGCGACAAACAGGACATCCCATTTTCTTGTTTTTAATCTCTTTCAAGCAAGAAATGCATCCGGCGACATGTCCACACGGCACACACACTGCTTCAGATGGTGCATTCACACAAATCACACAGAGTCCATCTTCTTTATCCTCAATTTTTGGAGAAGGAAGTGAGATGTCGACATGAGTCAAATCGTAATCTCTTAATGGAGGAACATTGGTTGTTTGAGATGTTTTCATAAACATTGGAGGATTCATTGGCTGTAGTATTAAAAGTTTAAATGAGTCAGAGAGACACCTATATCAAATATCTTAACTCCAAAAGTTGTATATATCTTATGCAATATACCTGTGGAACTCCTTTACATGCCTCAGAAAACCGATTCAGCTGTTTCGTGTCGCCTTTGATCTCAGCTGCCAGCTTAAGACGTATTTCTGAAACAAAATTGAGATTAGAACAACAAAAAACTCATGGTTTTAACTCATTAGACGATTGATAACTCTTCTTGTAATATTTTGTATGGTTACTGAATCTTAAAGAATAAACAATAGTACAAAATTGTGTACACTTACGTCTATCGACTTGAGCCCAACGCCTCGCCTGAGAAATGAATCCGCTTTCTCTTCTCTGCCTCATGCACTTTGGACCTATCCATGATAATAAAGTTCAATCAATAAAGAACAAACACATTCCTTAAAAAATGAAAAGTGTTAGGAAATTACTTTTGGAGTTATCAATAATCATCACTGAATCATCAGACTGAAATCTTTTCGGTTCCTCCAAGTTGGCTTTCCACAAAGGCAACACCATCCTTGGTTGTGCATCCTAATTGGAAACAGTTTCATAAGTATAGAACTCTCAAAACATTGAAACAATGATATTATCCAACAAGATTCCTAAACCAGTGAACTAGATAATGAAAAATTCCTCAAGAGATTAAAGGATATGTTTTTTAGTACCTGAAGACTATCATACACAGCCAACTCCAACTTTAAAGGCTTCGTAGGTTTTCGTGAACCAGTTGGTACGACAACTACCCATCTGCAAAAACATATGTTCCAAAAAAGATTCATATTCATGTGCCACAACAAGAAACAAGAAAGTAATTAGGTGCTAAAGATTGAAAAATCGGTTAAATGGTAAATACTCACACTTTTCTTGAAAGAAGCCGAGGAGCGAATGATTCAAGAAAGCTGGGGCCATAAAACTCACGCATACAACCAGAGAACAAGCAGATATGACTCTACAGAATCACATTCTAAAAGTTATAAAAAGCTCATGACTCGTCCAATTGCAGTAAATATGAAATAAGCATTACAAGCACAAATACCTCGATTGCGCTTACAACATTACTGTAACCTTCAGCTCTAGCAACCTCGAGAGCCGTCTGAATTTCATCATCAAGAACCAGTGGCTTTGCTACAATAATGAAAACACAGATATGCAAATATAAATGAAAAACCATAACAAGATTTTTCAATCATCAAATTGGTAAAGAAGATAATATCAAACCAAAACTTACCACCGTGAGACAGAAGTAACTTAACCGTGTGTACGAGACCTCTTCTTGCAGCATGGTGCAGAGGAGTCCCACCATTGCAACCTGATACCAACAAAAACAAAATTTTCACACTCACTTTCAAGTTTTTTTTTAAATGAATTAGCTCAAAATATGGTTTGATGAGAGGAATTATATCAAGAAATTTTATTATGAATAAAGCCACAAAAACAATGAATTGATAATAATAGTACCGGAACGATAAGCATTGACATTGGAACCCAACTCAAGCAGAGTTTTTGCAGCATCATATAGATCATCGTCCGTACAAGCTAAGATTAATGGTGTTCTCCCTAACTTATCCACCCCCTGCATCCAAAACCACAGTGTACAATTCAGAAAACAACAACACCAAGAGGATAATTACTAGAGATTTGGTTGAAACACACAAAAATTTTTAAAAAGATGGGAGTAGAGAAAGAAGAAAAACCTCAAGTCCTGCACCTTCACGGAAAAGTGATTTGATACCTTCGACGTTGTTGTTACTCACTTCTTGAAACAACATCTCATCTTTGGACTGTGATTGTTGTTGTCCCATTTTTTTATATGAATATCAAAATGAAATTGAACTTAAAGGAAGAGGAAAATCAAGAGCTATATTTATATAGAACACGAAAAGTTATATATATATATATATATATAGAAAATGAAAAGTTTTTGCCTTGAGTTTGTGTGAAATGTAAAGGAAAAGCTTATGAAAATACGCGGCAATAGCCAGGAATTGACTGTATAATTGCTTCAAAAAGACAAAAAAAAACTATTGATGTGGAGACTTTTTCAAGAACAATGAAGTACTGTCGGAGAAAGTTCATAGTTGACTTGACTCAGTTAATAGAAAACAAAAAGTGGGGACTTTGGAGTTGACTAAAGAAAATGCCAAATTGCCAAGAAAAAAATAGTAAACTTATTTAACATTTTACCCAAAAAAAGAAGAAGAAAAAAGATACTGTAGTAAACTCAAACAAGAATCTAACTATATGCTCCAGTTTAAACTTTCATAGGAAAAAAACAACTAGAAATCTAGTTTTGTTTCCCATACGTACGTGGATCAAAACCTTGATACTTTTACATATAAATGTGACATAAAATATGAATCTAAAATAAAAAGAAAATTAACAATAAATCTGTGTATCTATTTTGGATGAGTCGGATCTACATTAATGACATTCCAATGATGCCTTGTTCCCCAATCTACTTTGCCAAACTGCTATTATACACATGATGACTAGCTTTCAAGAACTTCTTTTGAATCCTCTGCTTGATCAGGATTTGGTTGTGTAGGAGAAGCTGGTGGTTGAGGCTGAGTTGGTTCTGTAGGAGAAGCAGGTGGTTGAGGTTGAGTTGGTGTAGGAACAGGATCTGAAGCCTTTGGACTTGATGATGAAGCATGATGACTATACCTCTTAAGCAACCTATCTTTTTTGCTATTCCACCATTCTTCTGCTTGATGCTCATCAAATCTCCGTTTGCTACAAAAAAACTCATTTCACAAAAATGATTTACATAAATCTAGATAGAGAAGAGAGGAGATTTTGATGAAGATAAAAATACCTGAATCTAACTCTTCTAAAGATCTTTCCGCCATTTTTGTGCAATACATAAGTAACATAAACACCGGGTTCGAATTGTTCGATAAGTTCTTTGCCTCCTCCTTTAGATGATGATGAAGCTTCTGTTGTCCCTGAAGGTTCTTGAGACCTCATGTTACCTCCATTGGATGATGGTTGTTCTTCTATGTTTTGATCTTGTGTGTTTGCAGAAGGGGTTGGGTCTTGTTGACCCATTCCCACGGATGTTGTAGGTAAAGATGATTCAGATGCTTCGCTCGCGTTTAGATAAGCTTCTGCTTGAGAATTCATGGATTCAAAAGCTTCACATCCAGATACTTCCGGAGGTAGTTTCTCTTTTAACTCTCTTAACTGTCATAAATAAAACAATGGTTTAAGTCTCTTTTCTTGTTCCCCAAGAAAACAATCTTTTAGGCATGCTTTATAAGAAGAAGCTTACATGTTCAGCGACAGATTTCATGACCTCTGTTGCTGCCTTGTGCTTTGAAGAATGTTTTACAGCTAAGTCAGAAGCTTCTCTTGCTGTTTTCTTTAGTCTTTGGATCTCTGTACCTTGATTATCACATTTCTCTTTCAAATTTTTAATCTGAAAGTGTTTTATCAATGTATTAGATCCAGTTTAATGTTTAATAAACCTGAGAATTTTGAGATAATATTACAAACCTGGCTTTGCAATTTTGTCATTTCTTTGTTTATAACACCGTTTGATTTCTTCAAAGTATCAATCATGCTCCTGGAAAATCCAGAACTGCGTGGAGGGCTTGATCTTCTTGATGATCTTGTTCCAGAGGACAGTGACGACGAAGTTGAGGCAGCGGGTTTCAAGGCATTTTGAATCGCGCTAAGTGAGCTTGGGAATGCGACATCTCTAAGTTGCTGGAGAGCTGGAACTTGTGAAGCTCTGACAATAGAAGATTCAGATCTTGATGACCTAACCTCAGAATACTTGACTGGTTCTGTTTTGGGAGACAGTAAAATCTTTGACGACCTTATATCTCTGTCTGGTCTGACCGACCCATCTAGTGACCGCGTCGTGGAATTTCTATTAGCAACATTAGAGTTATAACCAGACTCTCCAGCTTTAAGTTTTGTGTAACAAGCATCACATACTCGATGTGGCTTCCCTGGGGTTGGAGCTAATGCTGCTTTCAAAGCTTTCTTGGAACTACACGCATGACAATGCACTAAACCGCAGTTATAGCAATTATGCCTCTTTCTTGTAAAACCAAATGCTTGACGACAACCAGAACACACTGATTGATCAGCACCTGAGACCCACTTATGGATGCATATACTTGATGTAAAGTTGGAGCCACATGATATACTCTTCACATGCCTCTCCTTTAGAGCTTCAACTAATGTTGGCGTTTTTCGATCTTCTTTGTCCCCATGTCCTAGTCTTCCATTTGAACCTTTTCCCCAAGTGAAGACTTCACTTCTTGATGTCAGGACAGCAACATGATGATCCCCACAAGATATTTCCTCAACGAATTCACCAACCAATCGATCTTGAACCAAGCAAGGCAATTTACCATCCGAATTCGAGCTACCGAGCTGACCATGTGAAGTCCCTCCCATAGTGAAAACATGTCCTGAGGTCGTGAGTGCAACAGTCAATGTATGACCACAAGCTATTTGCTGAAAGTTGTAGTCAATTAGTGAAGAGACACAAGTGGGAAGTAAATAAGTCTCTTTATTTCCATGTCCTAGCCTGTTTTTATCACCATCACCCCAAGTAAACAACTTTTTAGATGACATACTAGTACCGGTCTGATTCATAACTTCAACTATAGCTACCGTATGCCACACGCCACAAGCTACTTTCATGGTTTTAAGACCACTCAACATTTTTACTTCTTTAGGGTATGAAACACTCTCTCTATCTCCATGTCCAAGAACACCAAACGCTCCATCACCAAAAGTGAATAGTTTTCCATTAGCAGTCGCAAGAGCGGAATGCCACGTGCCACACGCAACAGACAAGACCTGAAGTCCTTCTACAGGACCAGAGACTCTTTTTGGTATCCAATGACTAAGATCACTTCCATGTCCCAAAAGTCCAACATTATGGATTCCATCTCCCCAAGTAAACAAATCTCCGGATGTAGATACAGCACAAGTATGATATTCTCCACAAGCAACAAAATCTATGTTGGTAAGAGCAAGAAACTCAACAAGTTTTGGACGACTAACATCAACTTGAATACCATGTCCAAGCCTTCCTCCAGCTTCCTCTCCCCAAGTAAATACTTCACCTTGTCTTGTTACAAGAGCGATGTGTCTTACACCGCAAGCTATCTGATGAACATCAAGAACTACATTTGATTCCAAGGGTTTTGGAACCAATACATCTATTTTTACAGTTCTGCAGTTAACGGTCCCATCTTGTGATATCCCGTCGCTACAAACTTCTCCCCAGACATAAACATCGCCTAAGGATTCTATGTCATCAGGACCAGAAGTTCCAGTTGAACAACTTGGTGTGCTTGAGACACTAATTCGAAAACCATCAGTACTTGGTCTTAGCATGTTTCCACGTTCATATCCCACATCTGAGCTACCAAACTTTGTTGGAGAGTTTTGGATTCCTAAATCAATGGATGTTCTTCCTCGTCGAGTATTGTTTGGTGCGAAATCTATAGATGCAGTAGAAGGACGACCAGTAGAGAAACAGTCACTGTCATGTATCTGAAAGTGAGTTACATATAGTTAAAATATTAGACGTAAGGAGAGTATGGATAGTAAAATATAACGAAAATAAAGTCACGTACACACACACACCTCAGGGATCTCACTTTTGGCGTGCTTGTTACGGTTTTGTCTAATTAAAGACTTAAGTCCTGCAAACCAAACCTCTGTTTCAGCCTTGTCCTTGCAAATCTGTAGAGTATATATAAACATAAATATATATGACAAAGGAGTAGAAAAATCAAAGAAATTTAGTATGTTATTGTTTACTAACCAGATCAAGAGATCTATCTCCGTTATGATATATGAGAGAAAATGACAAGTAATCCTTTTCAGGACGTAAATATCTTCGAAAAACAGCCTATGTATAAACAAAAAGATGTGTGAGTTTCATGAAAATAAATTTCTTTTGAATAATAGAGTCAATGAAGTAGTATTTGGCTACACTCACAGTTCTTTGCCCTGGGAGAATTCGTGAAACTGTAGCTAACTTCAAACTTTTTTCTTCTCCGTGTGAGAACCAAAACAATGTTGTTTCATCCTGTTGAATCACGATAACATATCAAAATGTTTTTCTTTTTTTTTGGAAGTAGATCATAAAAACGTCATATTGTCGAAACAGCGTTCACTTATATATGCGAAAGAAGTAGAAATTAAATACCGGCGAAAGCCTGAATGAGCGAAATTTAGGCCTTCCTTTGCGGCTATACTTAAGTAATTGAGTTCCTTTTTTCAGAGAAACGAGTGCCTACAAGAAATTAGTGTATATATTTAGAAGAAAGACAATGGACATATGAAGCTTTTGCATCTAAATTCAAAACAAGGAAAATCACTCTTGAGTAAAAAGTGACTTAAACTGAATAATGTTTTAGGATCAACAAACATAACCTCAAAACTCAAAAGCTTTTGTATTAGTTTCAATGTCATGTCATAATTTAGGTTCAAACCCTAAAGTGTGCGGATGTGAGTTATAAACGAAGAAAAACATGAATTCAAAAAGAACATCGAAGTTTTCGTAAGCTAGAATTGAGAGTTGCTAAAAAAAAATCTTTCTTAGAGAAAATCATTCAAAATCCTTTCCAGGATTTTTCTCTACGTATTTAAATTGATTCATATCTACTTTACTATAGAAAATCATTCAAAATTAATAGAAGATTATGAAAATATGGAGAAAACAAACTTGGTCGATGTCACGGTCGTGATTGACATAGCTAGAGTGATCTGCCATTCCATCTGAGAAAACTCAAAAGAAGAAAGCCGGAGAGAAGGATAAAGCTCAACAAGCATCAGGTGGTTTGATTCACCTGTCTTCATAGATGCATCCGTCTTCAATTCCTTCTCCTACTTGATCCACTACTATGCTCATTCAATTCTTATTTTCGGAATTTTAACACACAATTATGATAATCAAAAATATTAATTTTTGCAATCAATTAGAAAGATTTAGGTTGAGTGTCATTAATGATCCTAAAAATTAGGAGAATGGTCAAAATAAAAAAGGAGAGGACAATTTCTAAGGGAAGATCGCCATTTTAGGAGTGTTTGAAGCTCTCATGCAAATTCCCTTCCACATTTCACTCTCAGCATAATTCATTTAATTAAAAAAATAAACAATTGTTAGCAAGTATCTTACACATATTTAATTCATTTAATTCAAAATATTACACATATTTTGGGAAGCAAGGCATGTATATCTTGCAAACTAAGTATCTTCAACCGTCAAAGTCGGTTTATGAAGTGAAGCCCGAATGAAAAATATACTCTAGATCTCTAATACGATGCAAAAATATTATACATATTTTCAATATTTTTAAAATAATTATTGGAATTGACTTTTAAAAAATCAAAATATCTCAATAAATTATTTAATTAATCATGAAATTACTTTATGTTTCTTCATTTGTTTTTTTCTACTTATCTTCTAATTAGACATTTCAATCTTTTGACAAAACATGTATGTATAGACCTCTCATATCACACATTCATTAGGAGTCTGAGGACACATTACCACGACTCCTCCACCCGAATATAGGGGAGTCTCGTTAAAGACAGCTAAAACAACATGTATATGTCACGTTAATATTTCTTTACAAAGTTTGGTAAAGGCAACAAGTGACAAATGAGATATAAGTGCTATTTCTTACGCAGCCAACTCCAAAAACCTTTACTTTTATGAACTTTTATATTGGCTTCTTCAGATACCTTATCGGATTTGCAAGTATGTCTATCTGTACAGTGGCCGACGTCAGAAATATTTTCAGTTTTGTCTTCAGATGCTTTGCCCCAATTATCGCTGTGTTGTTGGATTACTTCTCCATATATTCCAACACCGCATTGAACAATCTCGTAGGCGTCAGAAGGTGTGCAGCTAAATTCGAACAATATCTCACTGTCCACTTCAAAACATCTATCTCTGTCGAGCAAGTTAGCGTGAAATAAACAAAGATGTTCCGATTGTGTTCCCAGGGACTGATCAGGTAAGCTAAAACAATGATAAACTTCGTTGATGGAGTCGCCGTTTTTGCTTATGAGACGACATAATAAACTAATAAGCCTTCTTCTCTCAGTGATTAACCTGGTAGGGGAAATCACAATGCAAGCTTTAAATCTTGAGTATGCAGAAAAATGACTATCACTGATGGTCAAGAAAGTTCCATTAGCTTGGTGATTAAACGTTGTGGGCACTTCTCTTCCTGGTAAAACTCTCAACCTGAGAAAGAATGATTGTTGGATAATATCTCTTCGTGCTTCTTGATTCAGTTTGAAGCAATTGGTGAAATTGTAGTTCACAAATGAACTTAAGCTTGACGAGCAAGCAACACTCTCGAGTGAATCGCAGTCACATGCATTTAACGACCTGAGCGAAAGAGGAAGCTGAGGCAGTGATTTGAGTTTTCTACAGCCTCCGATATGAAGGAAACTTAGCTTAGGAAGATCTTTGATCCAATCTGGAATCTTCTCAATACCCGTACACCTTAGGTCTAGATACTTTAGACTTTCAGGGAGCTGTGTTAGTGTCTTAAAGTTTCCACTACCGCTTATAAGGAGAGACGTAAGACGAGTGCACAGTATTATTGATGTAGGCAGTTCTTCTACCACTGTGTCATCTATAACGAGTCTTGAGATGTGTGTAGAAATACCTGGAAAACTTTTCAATTGTGAGCAACCATGCATGTTGAAGAAGTCAAGAGATGCCAAGTTGATGAGAGTTGGAACAACTTCTAGCTTTGTGCAGTTGTGTATTATCAACGTCTCTAGTTTTCGAAGTTCCGAAAAAGAGGAAGGAATCTCTACCAAACTCTTGCAATAACTTAGTTCCAATTTCTCGAGATTTGTAGCATTTGAAAGATCTGGAAGTTCCTTCAAATGAGAGGATCGTGTCAAATCCATTTTCTTGAGATTTGTAAGTGGCTGAGTGTCAAACACAAGCAGATAAAAAACATCAGAATTATGTACATATATATACAATTAAAATATTTCAGATAAATAATCTAACCTGTGTTCCTTGCCAAAGCCTCTCAAGCTGGCTCTCTTGCAAATCGAGTTCTATAAGATATTCTGGATGAAATGTAGTAGGAAGAGCATTTCGTGGGTATGCTTCCCAGCGAAGTAACCGTAGATGAGGTGGAAACTCCAAGTCCTCAGGTATGTCCACTTGATCATTTTGAACATATCTTGTCTTGTAGACACTTAGGAATCGAAGATTACGCATTCTTTTGAAAGCTCCCTCACTTATGAAAACTTTGTTGATTCCAGATGTATCAAGCGATATGCCTATAGCAGCTCTAGTATCCTAAAATATACTCCAAATGAAGAATTTGTTAGTATAACAGAAAAAAATGCTTACCCTCAGCAACTAACCCTTTTTAGATTGAAGTAAAAAGCTTACTGTATCATTCTCAAAGATATAACAAATCTCATGTGCATCTATTAAGATGTGGCGTTTCCAAGGCTCTTGTCTTTGAATTGCATGTCTACCCACTTGTTGTAGTAATTTGTGCATTACTATTTTCCCACTGGTAGATTTATATATGAGGGATCTATTGGTTAGGATTTTCAACCCTTGTTTGACATCCAAGTTACTGTCAGCGAGCATTGCGATCACATGATCATCTTTATTGTAGTTGAAAAAGACCGCAATGTAGAGAAATAGCGCTTGTTCTTCTTCATGTAAGCTATCATACCCAACTCTTAGCGCTCCCTCGACATTTTGATCAAGACTAGTTTCTAGCCTGTCCAATAGAGCTTCCCACTCATCCTCCCCCTTCCCACGTAAAGATGACCCCATGACGCGGAGACCCAATGGAAGGTTATCAAAAACATTTGTTACTCTATCTGTAAGCTTTTCGAAACCATCAGGTGGAGACCTTTTTCTAAAAGCATATATACAAAAGATCTCAAGAGCGTCTTCTACAGATGGAAAACCCACATGGTAAGTTTTTTTGATACCATGTTGCTCCAAAAGCTCTTGATCTTCTGAGGTCACAATGATCCTACTTCCAGGACCAAACCAATTAGTCTCATTAGCCAAAGCCTCTAATTGCTTTAGATCATTCACATCATCAAGAATGATTAGCACTTTTTGGTCGCATAGCCTTTCTTGTATCGCACCTAAATGGTATATCCTCATACCATTTTGGTTTAAAATCTTTGAAAGAAGATGTTCTTGTAAACGCAGTTTCAAGCCATACTCATCAAGACCACTATTAAAGCTTCCCCTAAGATTCTCCATAAAACAACTAAGCTGGAAACTACTTGAGAGTAAACTATGTAAAGCTCTAGCAATGGTAGTCTTACCAATGCCTGCAGGACCACATATTCCAACTATCATAGCTCCATCCTCATAATCTAAATCTAACAAATATTTCATTTCCTCCAAGTGTGCTTCAAGTCCAACCATATCGTCAAAATCTCTAGAGATTGTAGTATTTAATATGTTTGAAATATCTCTCGAAATCTTTTCAATCATCTTTGACTCATTGTCCCTAACAAGTGAGAAAATTCACCATGTGAAATTGATGTACCTTATCAATTATTTAAGAGAAAAACAATCACAAATTAATTAAAAGAAAACAAACAAACCAGTTTTGGAAGTGTTCTCCAGCTATGTTTCCCACATGGTTCAAAGCTTGACTCCATCTTTGCCTCTTCTCTTTCGTACTTCGAGAACACGTTTCATCGAAAACCCTCCCGAATTCTCCGGTCTGTTTCCGCACATCAGATGGATCTACTCCGTAAAAAACCGTCATCACTATTTGTCCCATAGCTTCCTTGCACTTGATAATCTCCAACAACTCATCCAAGCACCAGCTCGAAGAAGCATAGTTCTTCGATAGCAAGACGATTGAGATTCTTGATTCCCTAATAGCTTGTGTGAGAGCAGGTGCGATGGTTTGGCTTCTCTCGATCTCTTGATCATCGAACATCGTGATCCCATTGTAGTTAAACTGTTTACGTAAATGACTCACAAATGTTTTACGGACGTCTGCTCCGTGGAAGCTTGCAAAGACGCGGTATCTCCAGGTGCGAGGCGAAGAAGAAGAAGAAGAAGAAAAAGCCATGAGATAAAACGCGTATACACAAATGTTTCTCAATGAGCCATGTACGAAGAAGAAATTACTGGAAAACGCGTATTCACTATATTGACTTTTGACTTTTGAGAAAAAAGAGAGATGAAGTTTCTTCGCATTTTCAGTGTCAGCTTTTGATACGTAAAGAAAATTATAAACAAGTTAATGGGTGAATTTGGTGACAACTACGCATTGATAATCTTTTCAAATATTTTGAAATTAATTAAATTTTTAATTAGTGCTGTCATGAAAAAATATTTTTGGGCTGACATAAGGAAACATTTCAGTCATAATTTTTTTTTTTGTATTCACAACATACTAAGGTCTTTGACTGGTTAAAGAGTTAATGGAAAGGAAAAAAAAACGTTATATCAGGAGAGAAAAAAGTTTTACCTACCTAGTTTTGAAGACGGAATCATTCTTATACATTTCCGAACCTGTGACTTTTAAGGTCTCTACATTTCTTTTTTGATAATTTAGGATAAATCTTGAGGTTTAACTACTAGACTAACTCGTCGCTGGTTTTGGTTCTCACAGGATTCGATACACATTGCAATATCAGATTCATATTCTAAGTATGAGTAGTTTTGTTTGTCTTAAAGTTAATACTTTAAAAAAAAGCTATTTCGCCTTTTTTTACTCTTTAGTGGCTAAAATATTTTCAATACACACTGAGATATGTATATTTAATATTGTCATTGTAATCTTAAATTAAACTCTTATAATGCATGTTGTTAGTAAAAAATGTCCAAACTACATAAACATATTTTATTTCTAACAGTATTTTAGAAAGTAAAATACATCTTTGAATAATAAATGTTATTTTGTCAACATATATAAATACCTTCTATATTATGCTAATGTTATTGGTTATAAATATATTTAACATTGACCGTGAGATACATTATAAAAAAAATCAAAAGTTGAAGTTAACAGTTTCTATAAAATGGTGAAGCTCATCATTGTTTTAGTTGTATCCATTTTGTTGTTTGCTACTCGATTTTCTAATGTAAGAGTTCGAATATTTGTTTATATTTATTTGGTTTATGAATTCGTAGATATTTAGTGTTCTTATATTTATACATTGTTTTACAGGCTGAGGAACTAGAAAATCTAGTTGAAGTACATGCAATCCATAAGGTATATATTTTATTATAAATATCAATTTGTGAAAAACATATATATTACAAACAAGAATATCACTCACATACACACATACATATATATTTTTGATTTTCAAACTATTTCATTTTAATATATTTTTGACCAAAACAAATGTATAAATTTATCATATCTATTTTAATTCCAAATTTATGTGCGCTATCCAACAAATTTCAGATGGGAGGAGAAGGTTCAATTCGACAAGAAGGTACATTGTTAAAAATTACTTGTTCTCTCGTTTATATAATCGATAGATATAACTTAAGTAATTTAACTAATATTGTTCTATATTTTTCTAAAGAATGTCCAATGGCATGTGAATTTCGATGTTCAGCGACATCTCACAAGAAACCATGTTTGTTTTACTGCAACAAATGTTGTAACAAATGTTTGTGTGTACCGTCGGGAACATATGGACACAAAGAAGAATGTGCTTGCTACAATAAATGGAAGACCAAAAAAGGTGGACCAAAATGTCCATGATAACAAAAAAAATTAGAGAAAAAAATAAATTCTATTTTGTTTTTATCTAAATAAAATCTATGTTGGCCATCCATACTTTCATATATAATATGAAGCTTCTTCTATTACAAAACTGAATTTAATGTACACATAAATTAAAAGAAAATTGGTTTCAAGTTCAACGATCCCATAAATACTAATTAGTCAAATCACTTAAGAAAAGAAAATAATACTTAGTATCTAATATTATAATACATTTATAGCCTAGTTTTCAAATTGAATTGATTTTTGAATATCAATAATAAAATAATTTATCTTTCTTCTATTTTTTTTAAATCACGAGCAATTTTTACTTTGAGTATCACTTTTATAAGTAGAAAAGAGTGATTCTCTTTCACTATCATCAAAAACAAAAATGCAGTTCTCTCTCTCCTTTTCCAACCCTTTCAAAGCAATATCCCATTGTAATTATATCTAGGCTATATAAGCATCTTGATCTTGTTATATCTTATAATTGTCAATAAAATGAACTTGTTTAGGTCATGTTTTTTTTAATCTTGTTTGGTTGGATTGACCCTTGAATGTTGACCCATTTTGACATTCCTAAATATGACAGAAAATGAATAAAGATATTTTATAGTATATTTTGTTTAATAGAAATAAATAAATACAAATAAAAATATTTCCAAATAAAAATAACAATAAGAGAAATTCCCTAGAATAGCACTAAACAAGTGTTATGAAAATTAAAACACACATTCTAACAACTTCCAAAAATAGTATTAGTTGACATAATTTTTTTTTTTTTGTCAACAATTGACATAACTAATATCCCTAGAATAGCACTACAACAAGTTTGTGGACAATTATTGAAACAAACCGACCCGTTTTTTAAGATTATTATTTTTTTTAATTTATTAACTAATATTCCCATAAATATTAATTAATTTTTCTTAATTAAAATCATGCCAAAATCAACACAAACTCATCAAAAATCCAATTCAATTTATTAGAAATTAACTAACATAAACAAGTAAATTATCTAACAATTATAACAACTTCTAATCCAAGATTTCATCATACTAAAAATAATAAAATAACACAAACGAGACCCTAGATCATCCTCTCTTCTTTGCCATGATTCCACATCACATTTTATCTTTATCTGCACCAAGAAAATAGATGCATAAGTATTTCAATAAATACTTAGTGAGACGATTCTCCCATCTACGAGCTATGCACACAAGCAACCAATATCACAATCAACTCAAAAATCATGAAAGCAAACCGAACCAATGACAATCACCCATTGACACAACCATCTCAGGGATTCAATCTTGGATCCATCAAAAATCAAGCCTACACATCACATAAAAGAAATAGAAATCAGACAATCTTAATCACTTTGATAACCTCATGGTTACGCACTCACCTTGAAACAAAGATGATTTTCGAAACAAAAACTATAATCCCACAACCAGCAGTGACTCCCCACTAGCCAACGATAGTTCAACTCACCCTATAGCCAACCACAACAACTAAAAACAACATTTAACCTAAACTGTAAAATTTTAGAAAACTAACAGAACGCTCAGTCTGAAAAATGGGATCACGAAACAAACTCTAACCGTCCACTTTCAAATCCCACCGTTGAAAATCGTCCCCTATATGTCCTGAAGCTACTCACAAAAGTTCGTGACGATTCGACAAAAGGTTCATTCGCGATTCTCTTTTGAATACACGATGGTTCAAATCACGTCTTAAGCAGAACAGCTCACGGAAACGCAGTTAACTCTTAGAATATTGACTCAAATCAATATCCTCAAAGTGTCACATCTAGATATAGGTCTTAGATACAATCCCAGAAAATTTTGTTACATTTGCCAACGATTTTCTAGGTCAAATCTCTTCTCTACCGGACCTTGACAGTTTTGTCTCTCCTCTCCCTTCACCAAAGCTTTAGCCTCTCCATCTTCCTCAAGTTAAACTCAACTCTCTTTCTTTTTTTTTGCAGGTCACGGCACATGAGAAGAAGGGGAGGCTAGCGTCGAGTTATAGAAGAAAAATAAGGGTTTTTTTTGTTTAATTTGGTTAAACCATGATTTAATTAAACTAGAAAATAATTAAATCACTCCTTGATTTACTTAAAACATCAGCTTAGTAAGCCAATTAGAACTGAACTGATTCCACTCCAATTCCCGACATAAACTCAATTCTTTCATTCATTTTAGAATACGGGTGTTACAATTATAGCACACACTCCACAAATTTTCAAAAATAGTATTAGTTGACATATGTAACTATAGATGGATTTACCATACTATCTACCTATAAGGTAAACCCCTAAACGGAAACAAAAACAAAAACATCAAACGGAAAATTATGCCTCTTACTCGTATTCTCTCGTTTTAAAAATTTTAAGGCGTTTTATACATTATATAGAATCTAGTTGAATCAAATTTGTTTACATTTTCTCTCGTAACATTCTTTTAAGTTTTAACTGTATGAAAGATTGCCTCTTGGATGTTTTGAATTATTATTAATTTTTAGGTTTTTAAAATGATGTTTCTAAAGATATTTTTTTGTCAAAATTTCATATTTATTAACTAACAAAAAAAATTATTTACAAGTGGGGAAAAAAAGACAAAGAATTTTAGAAAATATATAGTTCAACACATCAGATCGTGCGCATTTCAAACCAACGTGAAAGAGCATTTCAAGCTTATGTAGAATCTTGTAATGCAAGGAGATTATCTTCTTGTACTGGACATATCTGAATTTCTGACTATGTAAGAAAAGAACTAAGCAGATAATGTCGAAGACATGTCTTAAAACAAATTGGTTGGTACGTATGAGGAATATAAAGCTATAGTTAATTATAGTATTTATTTTGGAATGTGTAGATAAATCTATAATTGATTGATTGGTTGTTGGTTAAATTAATAATTATTAGCTCAACAGTCCCAATCCAATAATTAAGTTCATTAGTCTTTATCCAATAAAAATTATGGGCCTTCTCTTGGTCGGATCTCACATGGTCTTTACTCTTTAGCATCATGGAACATAACTAACATTTTCATTGTCTTTACAGAACTTCAAAACAACTCAGACTCGTACATCTTTAAAGAGATTGTGAAGAAATTTAGTTAAACATAAATTCTTAAGATATATAAAAATATTTTCAGAGTGTATGAAAATATTAAACTTCCTCATAAAAACGCTTTTAGACCTGAAGATGTGGAAAAACAATATGCCCTTTTTTAAGCCAGAATCTGAGTTTTTGCCATCCAGAGTAAGCTAAGAGAACCAACTTTTTGTTCCCTACTTTTTACCCAAAAGCAATGGTGTTTAAATATTTTAATCGAAAAATGAAAGGCTCCTAGCAAAATATAAAGCATTTCTTGACAATAATACACATTTGGCCAAACCTATTTTTCAAAAAAAAAAAAAAGTTAAGTCTCTGAATGGCTTCTTTGCGGCAAAAGAAGAAGCAAAATCCAGCGAAGAGGGCATGGAAAAACTTCACAAACATGGTTAAGTCCAAATACAGAGACATCGAGATCGCTTCATCGGTCAGAGAATCAACGGCTCGTCTCCTCAGGTTCATTTCTCGCCGTCTCATCGTTCCTTTTAGAACAAGGTACCTCCAAAATAATAGCTACAGGGACAAATACTACTACAGCCGGAACCAAAGTTCTCGGCAGTTTCTCAACTTTTTCTCTCGATCTCTCACGAAACCAAAGCGTCGTCACTATGGATACGATGATGAATACTCTCAAATCTATCAATACCAAAGCCAATCACGTGGTGAGGGGACAAGTGAGAGCAAAGAAAACGTTGTTAGGCGAAAAGAGGAGAAAAAAGAAGAAGAGGAAGAAGGGATGCCGGAGATTGCTGACTCTATGGAAGATGCTTGGAGGAGAGTGGTGGCTGCATCGCCGCATTTGCAGGTTAACGAGAGAGCCGACGAGTTCATCTACAAGTTTAGAGAAAGTATGAAGATGGAGAAAGAGAGATCGTTTCTTGAATTCCAAGAAAGGTTAAAACGAAGTGCTTGATTTGATCACTCATCTGTGTGCTCCATGTTCTTCTTCTGATTTCTCTTGATTAAATTTTCTCAAGAACTTTGTTTTCTCATTCTTTCTTCTTTGTTAAAAAATGGGGATACTTTCAAAAGTGTTAACAAACTTTTTTCTTCATTTTGTTTTTCCAATGTCTTGTGAATACATAGTGCTCACCACTCTAAAAATTGTACCTATGTGATAAAAACCATTCTTGTTTTTTGTGAATGTATAAACATTCTTCTTCATAGATAATTTCACTTCAATACAAAAGTTTTTATATTTGTTTGGCTAATTTTATTAATGCATATTAGAAAAGTAATATGCAAAGAAGGAAGAAAAGGCAAAGTACAACTAAGTTGGACCCAGAAGAACAAATTCTAATTTAAGCTTCCATCACAAATAATGAATCATGATGATACATGCCAACTAATTCCACTCTCACATCGTGTAATTAAAAAGGGACTATAAAACTCATATGATCATATAGTTTTTCACTTTTTCTAGATATAACTTCAACTATTTGATTAAACCCTCACTGCAACTTCATAATAATGGATGATATAAAAGCTGGCACATTAGTTCCTAGATTTACTTCGTTCGGTTCAGTTCTGTTCTAGGATGCAAAAAAAATGGTTACAAGCTGATTTGTTTCTTACTGTTTCTAGCACCAAAACAGAAAATGCCTTAGATGAGTGAACCATGCCCATACATATTCATATCCGGATCATCTTCATCTTCATAATCTGGTTCTGTAGATGGTCTGCTTCTCTTTGCCTCTCTTGCTATTGATTGTCCTCTCCCTTTCTTCGGCTTTCCCCTGTGGTTGTATCACATTGGTCAACAAACCAAAATCATGTATCAGACACATACAGGTCAGGTAAGAATGAGGTAAAGTAAGCTAGGTTGGAAACTAACTGTGTCGACAAACCACCCTTGGATCGCCCTGGCCCTAATTCAGCTCGTCCATCTATATCATACAGAGGCAAAGTGTGTGAAAATTGATCCAAGATTTGCAAAAGTGAATTCAGCGTAGTTGTAGCTGAAGGGTTTACCTTCTCTTCCAACACCAAGTTCTTCAGCCTGAATACATATCAGGGAAGATCAACATACTAATCTAAAAAACTGCGCTAAAGTGTAAGCATCCACTTGAAAACAAACACCTTTTTCGCTACTTATGGCAGATAGTAAACTAAACTAACAAAAGACAGTCACTAGACAAGACAAACAGGCATTTCACAGAACTTGAGCTCTTTCACATCATAGGTTCAGCTTTTACCCTTGTTTGAATCTGCTAGAGATGTTAGCCATCTAGTAATCGACCATATCTTAAGAAACTGTATCCTCAACCAAAACTACACACTATAAAGAGCATCATTTGTTCTTTTGGCAGGGTTTCTATTACCAAACAACACACGAATACAGAAAGAAAGAAAAAAAAAACATATTTGCATATAAGAGAAGGCGATAAAGATTGTCTAAAACATACAGCTGGTGATGTAACTGAGGACAATGAAAAGACTCTGTCTTCAGGCTGAAACTTCCTTGACCTCTTAGCACTGCAACAAAGGTTTCATAACTTCAAATCAAACTCAAATTCTCGTTCCACACAACAAACATGCTAAAAACTGAGAAGTTACCACATTCTCTAAAGTGTATGAAGCTGCAAATAGAATCCAAAGTCAACGTTTTTCTACAGAATCAAAAGAAGAAGAGAATGAGAGACCTAGCAGTACTCTTGGAGGAAGACAAAAACCCTTCAAAACCTTTCAAAGCATTTCCTATATGACTCGATTCTTGAAGATAGCTTGTCTCCAATTCATAAACCTAAGCGACATCAAACAGTAATTTCTCAATGAAATCGACGAATTTTAAGTTCGAATTTCACAATTGAATCAAATCTAGACCATTTGTGCCCTAACCTGTTTCTCGATGCTTCGTAACTCTTGACGAAGCTTCTCTCGCTTGTTCAAAAGAGAAGTGAGCATCGCACCAGGATCCGTCGAGCTCTTTTGCCCTAAAGACATTTTACGGGAAAATTTGTCCCAAATCGCGCAGCTTTTGCCCTTCCCGGAGATAGGATTTTGCTGAAATTCGACGCGGAGGTCACCGTTGCCTGATGATTTGAGTCGATTACGAAGGAAATTTCAACGGTTAAAGCCACTAAACCAGGTTCCACCAATGGTCCGGTTTAATGTCAACCAAAAAAAAAAAATAATAATAATTGGGTGAGAGACATTATTGGGAGAGCTATTTAGTTTTTTGATAAACTGACACAAAGCCTAGAACAACACTAATTTTAGCCTCTATTTTGCCCAATTTTAACCTCACTCGCTTATGCATATAAATTTTTGTTTTCGTTAATATTTCTTGATTCTTGGATGTCCATTTACCTTGCTTGTTCATCGTCTTCCTAAGTCTCATCATCTCTCTCTAGCATCACTGTTTAATTCCTCTTCATTCCGATGTAACTGATTCGTCGTGTATATTATTCACTTTACGGCGCCGGAGAATTCCAATCACTCTCTCGTATATGCTATTTAACTCACCGTATCGGAGAATTATGATAATATGTTTATCTAAATTGCTTGATATCTCTCTATGAGTTTAGTTAGATCTGTATTTTTGTGTTATAGATCTTTGCATGGATGATATCTCTCTATGAGTTTGGTTAGATCTGCATTTTTGCGTTATAGATCTTTGCATAGATGTCCAAAAAGCTTTGTAGATCTACATCTAAATATTTATAAATACAAAAATATTAATAATTCTCTATATACGTTGTTACATGTATACAAATACTAATAATACTCTACATATTGCCAATACTAATTCGCTCGAGATAAGAGTTGTTGCATTGATTGCCAATCACTTCATTCTTTTTGTAAGCTTTGTCAGTTTGACTCGTAGCATTAATTGTTTTGCAGGTTATTCTTTGACTTTATGAAACGGCAATATCAACTCGCCCACGCGCATATATCGAAGACGATGTGGTATTTTCGTTATTTTTTTCATCTTCAGACCCAAACATCATGCCTATTTTTTGTTTGTCCCCAACCAGTCCCTACTATAGTTGAATCCCTAATTTCCTTGCTCAATTTTGTCTCTGAGCAAAATCACCCAAAAAAAAATGGTCCGTTTTTTTTTGTTTTTGAAATTTTATTTTTGGGTCAGAGATTTTGCTAAAGAAAGAATCAGCCAAAACAGAAGCAATGGCTGGGATGTTATGGAGCAGTCATAGACCATCCGTCTTCAAAAGGTTAATGAGAAACAAAGATGCAGAGTTTGTGAATAGGGTTCTCTGTATTGTAAAGCGTCTGCGAGTTTGCCATTTCTCTGTTTTGATACCGTCTTGCGGACTTTGGCGTTAATTTGCTTGAGTAAACTCGCTGCTGATGTTGGATGTTCCCCATGGCGTCTACTTTCTCTCACGCCAAATCATATAGCTTGTGGTTTGAAACACATACCGCAGAATATATTAGTGTGTCTGTTTGAAACTTATCACAGAAATTAAAAGTTGTGCAATCATATTTTAGGCAAATTTTTGAAACCATGTTTTTTATATTTAGTAATAACAATAGTGATGAATATTTTGGTAAAAGTTTTGGTGATTGATAATTTAATTGTACTAGATTAACAATAATAAGTAATCACCAAAAAAGATTAACAATAATAATTGGTACATTAAATTTAAAATATAGAAATGCAAATTAGTGTATTAAAGAAAATTAAATATAGAAAAGACTCTTTTCTAAAACTAAAAAAAATCTATATTTAATTCCTAAATATAGTTTCTAGTTAAAACAAAATTTAAGTTATTTTTGTTTAATTTTAATTTTACTTCAAAAAAATTTAAACTCATATATCGGGCAGATCTTAATCTAGTCTATACAAAACCAAAATAGTAAAATAAAGTTAATAGGAGTTTTTATCTTTTGTTTTGTTTTTTTTTCCGCCAATTTTTTTATATTTTGTTTAAAGTAAAATGTAGCGATGTGCAACAAAATAGGTAAAATAATCAATGTTTGTTAAAAGTGATTGAATGAAGTTTGATGTCCATGAAAAAAACCCTTGATTGGTTTAACTTAAAAGCTTTTGAATTATTTGGCAGTAGAGTGTGTGGATAAGGTCCAACCAATAACACAGTAAACTATAATAAACGTGCGATGAACTTAGATTTCTGGTATTCCTAAAATCATTAGCTTGTTTACAAGTTTCCGATATGTCACATCTTCTCGGTGTTATGTTAGAAGCATCTCCGCTTGAATTAAACCCCGCCTCAATTTGCTCCGTCAAATTTTGTTGTTGGTTTGGGTAGTTGGGCGACAGGGCCAGGGTTGTCACTTTCTCCCAGCAAAATACTACTCCCTCTGTTTCACAAAGAGTGTCGTTTTAGAGTTTTGCACACAGATTAAGAAAATATTAAATTTTTTTTTTTTTCTAAACAAAAACATCATTACCTATATACTTAAACACAATCTGCCCAATAGTAAAACAATCTGCAGAATACTAATAGTCATAAAACATAAAAAATCATTAAATTTTGCATTGAAAACCTAAAACGACACTCTTTGTGAAACAAAAATAAAACCTTAAAACGACACTCTTTGTGAAACGGAGGGAGTACTAATTATGGAGTAATTTAGACTTTTAGAGACGACTTCAAAGTCTTTAATTATAACTTAATGACTTTTTTTTTTTTTAATGACTTATTAACTCGGGTCATTTTTTAATCTTTGTCTTGAATATTTCTCCTAACAACTTCTGACTAAAGAAACAGTTTCACTTAATTTATAGGTGAATACCACTCATCATGACTCGACGTGCTCAAGACATTATAGACTTTAAATATAAATGGATGAACTTAGAGCAACAGCAATGGTAAGGATCTCCCAAGGATCCTTAAGAATATTTTAATTGTAAATTTTGACAAATATAAAGTTAAGGATTTGCTAAGGGACTCTTAGAAATATTCATGTCCAATGGTAGGAATCCTTAAGGGATCCTTAAGAAAGAAAAATTTGAAAATAAAATTTGGTGTTTGAGTTTTGATTGCTTGAAAAGAAAGATAGAGAAGACAAACTATACAAGTTTTTGATACATTTTTGATAAACACATTTTGAATAACAAAGATTCATGACAATAATATTACAAAGTATACAAGATTCATTTTAAAACACATCAAAGACAAAAACTATACAAGAAAGAACATCACAACATTTAAAAAATATATAGACAAGCAAAAAACTTACACGAATCAATACAGTGGTGCTTGGTAGACAAATTGTTCTAAACACAGAAAGACACTGATTTCCAAATGAATCTATATAGTTAGATTTATTCTCTTCCCATGGAGAGCTAGCAGATGCAACAAAAGCCATCAAATCAGCAATCTAATTATTAACCAGTAAGAAATAAATCAGTTAACACCTGTTACAAACTCTGCTCACTGAAAGAACCAACAAACGTAAACAATAATTCACATGCCTTGGCCATTTCCATGCATGTCAAAAGATCCCCATGAGGCGCCTTTAACACCTATAATAAATTCACAACATTGATCACACTAAGGATCCGACTTATCAACCAATCTAAGTTCCACCATATATCATAAGGGAATACACATACAATTGCTTTAAGCTTATACTCAGAAGATGCAACTGTCGAAGAAGAACTCCAGAACCATCAGAAGATAATAGCTTTAAGATATCTTGATTAAGTGAATTCAATTCCACAGACTTTAGTTAAGATGACATTGTAAGAAAATTGGCTTATTTTATATTCATTGCCAAACTTTAGTTAAGAAGCTCTTCATCTTATTCTTCTCTCAAAATAAAACTTTCTTTTTTTTGGTTTCAATAAAGAGATGAAAATAAGGCAACCAGAGAAAAGTACTGATTAACACGGACAAAAGGATGATTAAGATCAGAGGGGTTTAATTAGGGATTAAAGCAAGAATACCTCTCTAGGCATGAGTGTCTTGGGAATAACTCCGTGGCCAAATAACACCAAAGATGAGAAAAAAGAGAGACTTATTAAGATATGTGAGTAAGCAAGTATGACACTTAAATGGTGAATAGATGAAGAGTTACCCAATAACATGGCGACCACCATCATGAACAGCTGGTGAGGAAGCGATTGGAGCCACTGGAATCGCCTTTCTCTTCGATTTGATTTGCAGAACCCACTGATGTCGGCTCGACGAACTATTGTTGGTGACCACGCCGACGGTGGAGATGAGCATCACGACTTATTGTTTACAAAGGCTTCGCCTTTTACTTCCGATTTGGTGATGTATATCGCCGGAATTGAAGCTCAAAGAGATTCGCCGTCGGAGAAAACAAAGAGAAGAGAGAGAGAGGGTCGAGAAAACTGAAACGCGAAAGAAATTTTTTTCTTGTTTTTCTCACTTTTCTTCCCAATGAAATGACGCCACGTAGCGCCTCTTACAGCAACAAAAAAACCTTAAATTAGAAACGGACCTTGGCTTTTATTTATGTTTGGATTTATATTTGGGCCTTTTATTACAAGAAACTATGGGTAGAGCCCTTAAGGTACTCCCATTGCTGTTGCTCTTATTGTCTCAATCTCGTCAACCTTTAGCAAAACCTCTTGCATTACTCATCTTCTTCTTCCACTTGGTAAGTCTTTCTCTGCCCCCCTCTTCATGCAATGATTGACTTTTTTTGTTTGTGGTCGGGGAAGTTAGGAAATTAAATCTATGTTTTCAAACAATTTGTGTGATGATTTAAGGTTTGAGATGGACAGTTCTGAAGCAGATCTAGATAGAATAGAGGCACAAAGGTCAACGAATGTGTCTCATGATCAACGGAATGGACCATACTTCCCCATGGACATACTCGGAGATGGCGCCACTCAACCTACGGGAGACACCGAATCTATGCCAGAGTTTCTTACTAACCTTAGATTGTCGGATCTTTTCGCTTTCTGTGGAGAAGATATCCATATGACTCCGGAGATTTTTAGTGGAATGAGTGCTGGGAACAAAGAATGTCTGGAGAGGTTGAAAAGTCATGGAACGCCAATGGCACGTCTCAAGAGCGATACAGGAGATTCAATTCTTCATCTTGCTGCTACATGGGGTCATCTAGAACTAGTGAAGGAGATTGTCTCTGAATATCCGTCCCTTCTCTTGGAGCAAAACTCAAGCGGTCAGACACCGCTTCATGTGGCGGCTCATGGCGGTCATACCACTGTTGTTGAGGCTCTTGTTGCGTTGGTAACATTTGCTTCAGCTAGACTATGTAATGAAGAGAGTGAGAGACTGAATCCATATGTTCTCAAGGACAAAGATGGAAATACTGCTCTGCACTACGCCATCGAAGGGCACTATTTCGAGATGGCTACATGTCTGGTGAACGCGAACAAGGATGCTCCTTTTCTTGGAAATAACAAGGGAGTATCTTCCTTGTTTGTGGCAATAGATACTGGAGATGTATCCCTTGTGAAAGAAATTTTGAAAATCAGAGGCAACAAGGACCTTAAAGGGAAGAAGTCTAACTTAGAGTCAAAGTTACAAGGGAAAAAACATCTTGCACATGTGGCTTTACTGGCCAAGAGTATAGGTTTGTTTTTCGCTTTAACCAGTAGCAGCTACATTTATTCTATTCAAATTATGTAAAACTAGTTTGAGACGGGAAGTTCCTCCTCAAGACGGCAAAAATATTCAAATATATACTAATTGTTGTTCCTAATTGTTTGAGCAGATGTCCTTGATGTTATTCTTGACGAATATCCAAACCTTATGTATGAGCGAGATAGAGATGGTTGGACTTGTCTTTCACTCGCAGCATATATAGGATATTATGAAGGAGTATGTAACCTCTTACACCGATCAAAAGAGAGTGCTTATCTCTGCAATAATGATGGTTCCTTTCCAATCCATACGGCTGCAGAGAACGGTGACAAGAGAATTGTCAAAGAGATTCTTAGAAGTTGTCCAGATTCAAAACACCTGCTTAACAAACTTGGTCAAAATGTTCTCCACATTGCAGCAAAAAATGGAAATTATTGGATTTGTGAAATGTTGGCGTATAAGAAGGATATGATACATTTGGGTGTTGGGCAAGATGTGGATGGGAATACACCTTTGCACCTTGCCGTCATGAACTGGAACTTTCGGTCCATCACTTGTCTTGCTAACAGTAGCAAGATACTGAAAGTACGAAACAAAAGCGGTTTAAGAGCTAGAAATATTGCCGAGTTAGAGCTAAAACCCAACTACATCTTTGAGGAGGTATGTATGATTCCGCTTTATACAACACATTTGATCCCACATAAATGATTTACTGCTTGACCCATATTTTTTGGATTACAGAGGTGGACACTAGCTCTCTTATTATACGCTATTCACGTAAATGGTTTCGAAGATGTACACTCATTAACAAGACCATCGGAGCCACTAGACTCTAAGAATAACAGAGATTACGTCAACACTCTTCTACTGGTTGCGGCTCTAGTAGCCACAATGACGTTTGCTGCAGGTTTTACAATACCAGGTGGGTTTAACAGCTCTGCTCCAAACTTGGGCAGAGCAACTTTGGCCACTAACCCAACTCTCTTCATTTTTCTGCTACTTGACATCTTGGCAATGCAAAGTTCCGTTGCTACGATAGGTACTCTTATTTGGGCGCAATTGGGTGATCGAGAACTCATCCGCTCATCATTAAATGTGGCATTGCCCTTACTGCTTTTTTCTCTACTATGCATGCCCTTGGCATTCCTTTTTGGCGTGGTCACTGCAATTGGGCATGTGAAATGGCTTTTAGTCATCATTTGTATTATATCTGTGTTATTCTTCGGTTGGGCGATCTTTGTCCTTGGCCCTCACGTCATACTATAACAGCCTCTTGCATTACTCATCTTCTTCTTCCACTCGTCAACCTTTAGCAAAACCTCTTGCATTACTCATCTTCTTCTTCCACTTGGTAAGTCTTTCTCTGCCCCCCTCTTCATGCAATGATTGACTTTTTTTGTTTGTGGTCGGGGAAGTTAGGAAATTAAATCTATGTTTTCAAACAATTTGTGTGATGATTTAAGGTTTGAGATGGACAGTTCTGAAGCAGATCTAGATAGAATAGAGGCACAAAGGTCAACGAATATGTCTCATGATCAACGGAATGGACCATACTTCCCCATGGACATACTCGGAGATGGCGCCACTCAACCTACGGGAGACACCGAATCTATGCCAGAGTTTCTTACTAACCTTAGATTGTCGGATCTTTTCGCTTTCTGTGGAGAAGATATCCATATGACTCCGGAGATTTTTAGTGGAATGAGTGCTGGGAACAAAGAATGTCTGGAGAGGTTGAAAAGTCATGGAACGCCAATGGCACGTCTCAAGAGCGATACAGGAGATTCAATTCTTCATCTTGCTGCTACATGGGGTCATCTAGAACTAGTGAAGGAGATTGTCTCTGAATATCCGTCCCTTCTCTTGGAGCAAAACTCAAGCGGTCAGACACCGCTTCATGTGGCGGCTCATGGCGGTCATACCACTGTTGTTGAGGCTCTTGTTGCGTTGGTAACATTTGCTTCAGCTAGACTATGTAATGAAGAGAGTGAGAGACTGAATCCATATGTTCTCAAGGACAAAGATGGAAATACTGCTCTGCACTACGCCATCGAAGGGCACTATTTCGAGATGGCTACATGTCTGGTGAACGCGAACAAGGATGCTCCTTTTCTTGGAAATAACAAGGGAGTATCTTCCTTGTTTGTGGCAATAGATACTGGAGATGTATCCCTTGTGAAAGAAATTTTGAAAATCAGAGGCAACAAGGACCTTAAAGGGAAGAAGTCTAACTTAGAGTCAAAGTTACAAGGGAAAAAACATCTTGCACATGTGGCTTTACTGGCCAAGAGTATAGGTTTGTTTTTCGCTTTAACCAGTAGCAGCTACATTTATTCTATTCAAATTATGTAAAACTAGTTTGAGACGGGAAGTTCCTCCTCAAGACGGCAAAAATATTCAAATCTACATATACATTTTTACAGGGTTTTTTTGCATTAATTCATTTGGATCCGGGTTTTACCCGGGTTTAACTCTATCCGGATCTTGGATAAGAAATTTTAGGAATGTTGTCTTTAAACCACATTAATTCTTAATTAACACCTAAATTGGAAATATATATAATATATCTAAACTAACCATATTTGTTATTTACCTTAACTACTTCTAACCATAATTATTTAACTATTTATTTCTATATAGAAAGAATATGTGATTAAAATAAATATTTTGTAAAATATTGATTTGGGAAAAAATTGTTCTTACGAAAATAATTTGTTTTGTTATAAAAATTAATATTTGTTATTTGTAATTAAATTACATAAATAATAATAATAATTTGTCTACACCATCAAATAAAAATAGTTAGTTATTTAATATTACGTAATTTTTAAAAAATAAATTCAAGATTATAATGTCAATGGGTTTAATTCTAAAGAAATGAAAATATTAAAAAAGATACTAACCAAAAATTATTTATCCTAATTTGTTTCTAACAATTTGGACACAAATCTTTCAAATCTTTCGAAAATTTAATGTGATCACATTTGTTACTAAAATCTCGATTATATTCCTAAAATCTCGAGAAGATCTTCCTTTAAATCTGCAAATTATAATTTTTGAATTAAATAAACTAACAATACGAATATTCCTAATATATTCGAGTACCATAACGAAATTAATTATTTAATTATACATATATTTTCGAAATTATCTTAAATGCTTACCATTCCTAAAAATTAAATTGAATATATTACCAAACCGATTTTGTTCCTAATTTGTCTCTTCAAACTTATCTTTCTATAATCGCATTTTTTCCTATTTCTATGCTAAAAATATTCGGTAAATCTCTTCTGTTTCCTAATAAAATTGAACAATCTATATTTAATAAATATAACAACAATAGGAAATATTGCACAATCAAAAAAATTTCTTATTTTCTACGAAGCATCTATAAAGCATATTCTATATATTATCGATTTAAAGATTTGTAAAGCTATTTTCTTAGTTTCCAGAATTTAATTTGTTTCCGAAATTAATGCACATAATAAAACAGGGATTAATTGTTTACACGAGGATCCGATTTATTTACCATTTATTTAGCAACTAATCTGCATATACATTTTTGTTTAGAATTTATTTTCTGTTTTCTTAACTTTTCCCACATTAATTGACCTGATTTTATGGCATTCGGATATTTGCTAAGTATAACCAAAAAAATAAATTCATAACGACATTAAATATTTAATTACCAACCAAATCGGAAATATATGTAGATTTTGTAAACTAACCATATTTGTTTATCTCATTGTACCCGTTTTAAATGTTTATCTATTTATTATTGCAATTTTTTTTGTTAAAAACAATCTTATAGAAAACCTATCTTAACAAATATTGTAACTAATCAATGGTGTTTCTATAACAATTCGTCACTTTGAAAATTAATAAATGGATGTTTCCTAATTACTAGCTTATCATACCTAACATAGCATGTATTGTTATGATTTTAGAGATATTTAATACAATTATTTGGTATTAAACTCCTATTTCCTACATTACCTACGCATAATAACCTCCTATTCAATTACATATCTATGATTTAATGGTATTAAACTCTTATTTCCTAAATTGTTTACGCAGAATATCCCCTTATTCGATTACATATTAATGATATCTTACCTAATTACTACTCAATAACAACAAATATATCACATATTTTTAAAATTTTCACGAATTCAAATTTTTAATTCTAAATGCCTTATGGTTCCAAAGATATTATTCTTGATCACCAAGATCTTCCATAACTACTTTACAGGACTATAAATACTCCCTATTATATCATCTTCTCCGATCATAAAACACAGTGCAACTAATTCTTTTTCTAGCATAGAAACCGTGAAACTAATCTCTTTTAGTCTAATATTTTCATCACGATTTCATTATTATTAGAGAAAAATTACTTTTATTCCTTATCTATTTTACTTTAATATTTTCATCACTAATATTATTGTTTTTTTCGTTTTTAATTTAGGGTGTTAAGATCCATGCTTCTGTCAACAAGGATTTGATTGGTGTAACGTGAATTTATAAGCATCAAAAAGGAGGTGGGTATTACAATAGTGGCTGCAACATTTGCCTTTCTAAGAGACTTACGTTGTCAACAAAAAAAACAAAATTGAAAACAAACAACTAATGTGGTGTTCTAAGAAGTGTTGCAGCTTATTCTTAAAAGGTACGTTTACTTTAGCATTATATTTCAAAATATTATAAATATTAAAACTTTATTAAAAGTTAAATATGATAATTGTTTAAACTTTATAAAATGTTAAACTTTATAAAACGTTTTAAATATTTATAATATTAGAAATTTTATAAAGTTTCAATTATTATAAATATTTCAACTTTATAAAATTTATAAGAAGTTTATATATTATATATATTTAAACTTTATAAAACGTTTAAGTTATTTATAATATTTAAATTCTATAAAAAAGTTTATAATATTAATAATATTTTAATTCTATAACAATTAAATATATATATTATATGCTTTTAAGTAAAATACTATTAAAAATAACAAAATGATGTTTAATTTCACGGGACATGGTTATATGGTGCGATGGGTTTGGTTAGATATTAATACGGGACATTATACTATGGATGAAATTTTAGAATTAACACTCAAAATACAATAATACAATCATAAATACTAAGCAAAACAAATACCATCGGTCAATCCCTAAAATGCAAAATATTATAATAAAATGTAAACAACAAAATAAATTCATATTTAAATCCGCTATATAGCGTTTTTTAATGAACTGTATGTTTTTGTTTCTATATTTTAAAATTGAAACCTAAAACATACTAAACATACACTATATATATATATATATGCATATTTAAATCAAACAAAACAATAGGTTATATATGTAGATAATCTAAAAAAATTAAAGTTTTAGTTTTTATTAAATAAAAATATAGGCCCGCGGTGTACCGCGGGTTAATTTCTAGTATATACTAATTGTTGTTCCTAATTGTTTGAGCAGATGTCCTTGATGTTATTCTTGACGAATATCCAAACCTTATGTATGAGCGAGATAGAGATGGTTGGACTTGTCTTTCACTCGCAGCATATATAGGATATTATGAAGGAGTATGTAACCTCTTACACCGATCAAAAGAGAGTGCTTATCTCTGCAATAATGATGGTTCCTTTCCAATCCATACGGCTGCAGAGAACGGTGACAAGAGAATTGTCAAAGAGATTCTTAGAAGTTGTCCAGATTCAAAACACCTGCTTAACAAACTTGGTCAAAATGTTCTCCACATTGCAGCAAAAAATGGAAATTATTGGATTTGTGAAATGTTGGCGTATAAGAAGGATATGATACATTTGGGTGTTGGGCAAGATGTGGATGGGAATACACCTTTGCACCTTGCCGTCATGAACTGGAACTTTCGGTCCATCACTTGTCTTGCTAACAGTAGCAAGATACTGAAAGTACGAAACAAAAGCGGTTTAAGAGCTAGAAATATTGCCGAGTTAGAGCTAAAACCCAACTACATCTTTGAGGAGGTATGTATGATTCCGCTTTATACAACACATTTGATCCCACATAAATGATTTACTGCTTGACCCATATTTTTTGGATTACAGAGGTGGACACTAGCTCTCTTATTATACGCTATTCACGTAAATGGTTTCGAAGATGTACACTCATTAACAAGACCATCGGAGCCACTAGACTCTAAGAATAACAGAGATTACGTCAACACTCTTCTACTGGTTGCGGCTCTAGTAGCCACAATGACGTTTGCTGCAGGTTTTACAATACCAGGTGGGTTTAACAGCTCTGCTCCAAACTTGGGCAGAGCAACTTTGGCCACTAACCCAACTCTCTTCATTTTTCTGCTACTTGACATCTTGGCAATGCAAAGTTCCGTTGCTACGATAGGTACTCTTATTTGGGCGCAATTGGGTGATCGAGAACTCATCCGCTCATCATTAAATGTGGCATTGCCCTTACTGCTTTTTTCTCTACTATGCATGCCCTTGGCATTCCTTTTTGGCGTGGTCACTGCAATTGGGCATGTGAAATGGCTTTTAGTCATCATTTGTATTATATCTGTGTTATTCTTCGGTTGGGCGATCTTTGTCCTTGGCCCTCACGTCATGCTACAACAGCCATACGTTTCTCCCAATTACGCTGGTGACTTTCTCGTGACTTTTATGGAGTTTAAAGACGTGTTTGGGTTTTTTGTGATATTGATAAAATATATATTTGTGTCGTTATTTCTATGCGTTTGTAGCCTATTTAAAGGCATGATTCGTATGAATGATCGTATGAATGAAGCATTGAAACTTTGCTGATAAAAGAAGATTTTGTTCCCTTGAGGCAACAGAGCTACGAGATTTGTTGGTCTCTTTAAGAAGCGGCGTCTTGATAGAATTCATACCAAGTTCTATCAGAATTATCTATAATTGTAGAGAAGCCTTAAAAGTATATATTCCAAGAGATCTTCCTCTAAAAGTATGCAGTTATTTATAATTGGTTTGGTGGATACTGGTTTGCTTATCTTTCGAATTTTAACCTCATCATTCAAGGAAGTTAGATGAAATGCGGATTGTTCTGTCTCTTTGTATTTTAATCGGTCAATCAGAGGTTTTGGTTCCCCTGAGCTACTAGCAGCTCTTATTAATACTTTAATAAGATTTGGTTTGATCACTAATGGTCTGTATATGACACATATGTTTTTTGTTTGTTGATTCAACTACACACGTACAAAGCAATGCATAACATTCTTTGGTGGTCGAACATAACACTTTGGTTCTTGGATTCAGGAACGCGATCTATACTGCTTATTTCAAATTCCAACAGCTCCAAGTCGCCATGTCACTTTCCTATTATGATAGCTTTATTACATATTTACATCTATGTATCCTGAGGTACTAATAGGACATTGGTTAGGGGTAAGGTGCAAGATTTTGAGAAGGTTATGTAGCCATGTAGGGAAATGAACTTCATGTGTTCTTGATCAGGTCACTTTTCAGTTCTTGAATGGGTGATTGTTATGTTTGGAGAAATGGTAACTAGGACGTTGATTGAAACACGAGTGATAGATAGAAGTTGCTATAACTGAAGACTTTGTTAAGGAGATACATCGTCACTGAGAACCCATTTTAGGAGGTACAATACGCAAGATTTCAATGAATACCAGTGCGCTCTTGGTGTAGTGGCTAGACCAGGAAGAATCTACTTTGCCTCTCTTGCTATTGATTGTCCTCAATTACGAAGGAGATGATTATGCGTGGAATGCAAATTTTGGGGTTTTCAATGGTTAAAACCACTAAACCAGGTTCCAATTTCAATGTTCTGTTTTTTTTTTTTTTTTTTCGGGTCAGAGATTTTATTTCTGAGCTAGCAATTGACTAATTGTCTACGGCCAAAAGTGCCTGCTTTGCTAAAGAAAGAATCAACCAAACAGTTGGCATTGCATGGAAAGAAACAATATTTCTTCTACTTCTTCTAAGAACATCGAAAAATATGGTGGTATACTGGTATTACGATCCCATTGATTGTGGTTGCATTGCTTCCATAAATGCTACTTGCCTTTATATGCTTTTTCCAAGCTTTTCGTAAGACGGCATGTGCACTCTGAATCAGGAGAGTTTCCATTTAAAGTTTTAAACTGTAGATGTAGATTGATTGTTGTAAAATTTAGAGTGTATGTATGTTGGATTTAGCTGTATGAATGATTGGTAATGGTATACTAGTTTAATATTGTGGATTTAGATTTTAAGTGTGTGAATTTTAAAATTTTATATATGTTAAATAAAATGGTATATCAAATATATGATTTGAAAATTTATATATGTTAAATAAAATGGCATATCAAATATATGATAAATAGTAAATTTCATATGTAAAGTTATAATGATATATTATATTACTTTTTGTGAAATATATATTATATAGTATTTGTACATATTATATAGTATTGATACATATGTATAATAATTAAGTAAAGTTAATTTTATCTATATTTCTATATATAATTTTTATATATATGGAACTTAAGTAATATGTAAATATAGCATACTATCTTATACGAAACAAAAGTAGTAAAATAAAGTAACTTTTATCTTAGGTTAAGAAGTAAAATGTAGTGATATGCAACAAATTAATAAAATAATCAGTATTTTATTAAAAGTCAGCTGACTAAAGTATGATGTCCATGAAAAGAAAAAGGGGAATATTATCGAATTAGGCCTTTATTGGGCCAAAAATTTCAAATTGGGTATTAGTTGTCGGGACTTCCAAAATTAGGCATTTAGAGGGTAGATAAAAAGTCTATTTTACCCCTGTCTTCCCTTGCTTTTTGCTTCTTACCGTCGTTACTCGTATCCGAGAAACATCCTTTGCTTCCGACGACAACCTAGCTTTTCCGACCACCACAATCGCTTCTCACTGTTCTGCTCGCTCCGTCTCTGTCAACTCCATCAAACATCGTCACTTTAAATTTCATGAACACCATCTCCTTCGCCTCCGACTCGTCTCCGCCACTGTTGGAACCATCTCTTCCGGTGAACGCAGTGGATTCAATTAATCGTGTCTTGAATAAAGGATACTAAACCCTATGGGGATAATGTAGACTAAACCCAAGGGCTCCAATCTTAGACATCAATCGAATCAAGTAAGAATTTTAAGTTTCCCCCAAATTTATTAGCTAAAATTGAAATTTTTTATGTATGTTCTCTGCTTCCACCATCTCTAATGGTATCATGAACTCCATTGATCAGAAAATTAAACCCTAAGAAAACTAGTAATTGGTGAACCCAATGGGAAAAAATTAAACGAACTTGGAAAAATGAGACGAACTGCCGTCATCACATATTTGCATCTCTCTTATGTGTGTGTTCTTCAAAGTTGGTCATCGGAGAAGGAGACGATGGACCTGCAATCAACGGAGTAGCAATCAATGGTATCATGAACGGAGTATCATCGTCTCGTCGCCACAGAAAATCAAAATTCAAAGCGTACACGGGGAGCGTAAGCGTGATGGCAAGGTGGACATTTCCTCGCGGGTGGAAATGCCTAATACGAAAGTCCCGGCAGACGTACCGGATTCCGTAAGTTTGGCTGAGAAAAGGCCCAATCCGGTAATTAAATCAAGAAAAAGTCTATGGTAGATTATTTTTTGCCGGTAGAATGTAAATACAGCAACAGTATAAACTAATAAACTTGCGATGAAGTTAGACTTCAGGTATTCCTACAATCAATGGCTCACTAGATCTTGTCTATAAGTTTCTGCTATCTCAACTTGCTCTGTGGTTACAACAGTGAAACCGTAACTAGGAAGACAGATAATAAAACCCAATTAATCCAGAATTCTGTGTGTAAGCTCGGATGTCTAAATCAAAATGAAGATAAAGAGATAGATCATGAAGACGAACGAGTGATTCATATCACAAACAGAGTCACGCTTGTCACTTTGTCCCAGAAAAATACAAATTTGGACTTTTTTTTTTTGGTTTTGTAGGAGACGACTTCAAAGTCTTTCTAATGAGTTAGTATAACTAGGGTCATCGTACGAAAACTCTGTGTGTGGTGGATTACTAGGTTTAAAAAAGAAGATAAGAAGGACCTTACCTTAATTTATAGGAGACCACCACTCCTCCCGATTATCATGACTCGAGACTTTGACAACTCTTAAAATTAAGGGACGAACTTACAGTGTCAATCTCGTCAACCTTTAGCAACTCCTCATGCATCACTCATCTTCTGCTTCTACTTCGTAAGTCTTTCTCTGCTCCCTCTTCATGCAATGGTTGGGTTTTTTTTTTGTGGTCGGGGAAGTTAGGAACAATTTATGTGATGATTTTATGTTTGCGATGGACAGTTCTGAAGCAGATCTAGATATTGAGGCACAAACGACAACGAATGTGTCTCATGGTCAACAGAACGGAACATACTCAAGTGGCGGAGGTACGTGAGTCTTAGGGGACTCCACAAATTCTAAATATCCATTATATGTGCTTTATTAATAAGTATAGCTAGTGACTCCATTATGAAATAATTATTGACCCCTGCGAAAACAATCTTTGTCTTATGAGTCTTAAACATCGACAATCATAAATACTTCAAATTTAGATTATTATTTTCCGGAACTTAAATTAATTTTGCATTGAATTTTAGGTATAGACATTTCTGATTTTATTAATTAATTTTATTTTGATATGTACAAATTAATATTTTAGATTTATCATAAGTTAAAAGATTCTGTAGTTGAACTCATAAATTTTGTATCATGAAATATAAGATGAGTGGTTGATCCCATTGGTGACATCTACTATATGTTTTTGAAATACATTTTAAGGATCCAATCAGGTCGGGGTTTTTTTTTTCTGATTTTGACCCGAAAATCTTCAATTAGATCTTTCCTTAAATTGTGACAAAATTCAAAAACGAAATTAATTAATAAAATCTAAAATATATATATTTTCTCAACTAATTAATATATCTAAACTCTTTATTTATGATATATTTTTTACGATTTTTATAGATAAGTAAATCAAATATGATGATTTAATGCTAATATAACAAATTTGAGCTAATTTCCTAAAACTTCTCTACCTAATTTAAACATAAATATATGATTCTTATTTCACTTTTATTTGATCTTATATTTATATTATTTAGAATTATTATAAATATATATATAGTTACTAAATTTTAGTTTTTTTTTCTGCATATGTTATGATTCAAATTTTTTAAAACGGACATATATTACTCAATAGATGAAGAAAAAAAGTATGTGTGTAATCTATATTAACATTTTTGAAGAGCAAATTGCGCGTTTAATCAGGTCGTTTTTTTTATTCTGACTCGAAATTGCGTCATTCGGATTTTTCCTTAATTTCTACAATTATCTAAAACGGGACAGTATACCACGGGTGAAATCCTAAAATTAACAAATCAAAATACAATTATTTAGTATTTTAAGATATAAATATAAATTGTTTTTACGGGTTGGTCCAAAAACACACACTAATAAAAATTTATATATTATAGAAACCATTTGAAAGCAAACTTTTAAATTGACTCGAACTATATGTCTTTTAAATAAAAGTGATTAAAAATAACAAAATGATGTTTAATTTCACAGGACGTGATTATATGGTAGGACGGGTTTGGGTCGATATTAATACGGGACAATATGCCACGGGTGAAAACCTAGAATTAACAAATCAAAATACAATTATACAATCTTAAACACTAAACAAAATAAATACAACTTAAAATTTTAATTTCTTAGATACAACGCATGTGACCCGCGGTGTACAACAAAAAATATTATACACAACAAATTCATCAGTTTATAAAAATTAAAAAAATGCGGTGTACCGCGGGTAATATCCTAGTAAAACGGTAAAAAATAGCAAATAAAAAAAACAGAATTGATAAGCAATACAAAAATAGTTAGAAGTGGTAAAAGTTAGGGTAAGAGATGATTGTACAAAAACTTTCTACATATCTACATAACATAGTAAGATATTTTTTGGTCAAATATTATTAATTATGCATGCTTACAATAAATAATTATTTTGACTCGGTAACAAATTTTCTTTTTTAGCTCCGCTACTCGCCACGAACATACCCCGTTCACATGATTCCTTTCAAAACCGAGGAAATGGCGCCACACCACCTACGGAAGACACTGAATCTGTGCCAGAGTACCTTACTAACCTTATATTGTCCGATTTTCTCGCTCCCCCTGGTGAAGATGTCCAGATGTCTTCCGAGATTTTCAGTGAAATGAGTGGTGGTGATGGGGACATAGCAAGTCTGGAGCAGTACTTGGGAACGTCAATACCATGTCTCAAGAGCAATACAGGAGATTCAATTCTTCATCTTGCTGCTACATGGGGTCATCTAGAACTAGTGAAGAAGATTATCCCTAAATATCCGCGCCTTCTATTGGAGCAAAACTCGAGCGGTCACACACCACTTCATTTGGCGGCTCATGGCGGTCATACACCTGTTGTTGATGTTTTCGTTGAGACGGTAACATTTGCTTCAGCTAGACTGTGTACTGAACTGAATCCATATGTTCTCAAGGACAAAGATGGAAATACTGCTCTGTACTACGCCATTGAAGGACGCCATAAGGAGATGGCTACCTGTCTGGTAAACGCCAACCATGATGCTCCTTTTCTTGGAAATAACGAGGGAATATCTTCCTTGTATGAAGCAGTATCCGCTGGATCTGAATATGAATCCCTTGTGGAAGAAATTTTAAAAACCATAGGCAACGAGGACTTGGATTCGAAATTGCAAGGGAACAAATATCTTGCACATGTTGCTTTGCATGCCAAGAGTATAGGTTTGTTTTTCGCTTTAAACATTAGCATCTCCATTCAGTTTTGTAAAATTAAGTAAAACCAGTTTGAGACGGGAACTTCATCCCCAAGACAGTAAAAATCTTCCTATGTATACTAATTGTTGTTTCCAATTGTTTGTGCAGATGTCCTTGATGTTATTCTGGAAAAATATCCAAATCTTGTGAATGAGCGAGATATAGATGGTAGGACTTGTCTTTCACTCGCAGCATATATAGGGTATTATGAAGGAGTATGCAACCTCTTAGACCGACCAGAAAATGGTGTTTATGTCTGCGACCAAGATGGTTCCTTTCCAATTCATACGGCTGCAGAGAAAGGTCATGAAAAAATTGTTAAAGCGTTTCTAAGAGTTTGTAAAAATTCAAATTACCTGCTCAACAAACTTGGCCAGAACGTTCTCCACGTGGTAGCAAAAAATGGGGAATCTTCTATTACAAATTTCTTGATGATTGACGAAGAAACGAAACATCTGGGTGTTGGGCAAGATGTGGACGGGAATACGCCGTTGCACCTTGCTGTCATGAACTGGCACTTTGACTCCATTACTTATCTTGCTAGCAGTAGCGACATTCTGAAATTACGAAACAAAAGCGGCTTAAGAGCTAGGGATATTGTCGAGTTAGGGGTGAAACCCAACTATATCTTTCATGAGGTATGTCTAATTCTGTTTCATACAACACATTTGATACCACAAATGATTTATAGCTTGACCCATTTTTTTGGATTACAGAGGTGGACATTGGCGCTCTTATTATACGCTATTCACAAAACGAAGTTCGAACCTGTAAAGTCATTAACGAGACCGGCATGGCCACTGGACCCCAAGAATAACAGAGATTACGTCAACACTCTTCTCCTGGTTGCGACTCTTATAGCCACGGTGACGTTTGCTGCAGGTTTTACAATACCAGGTGGGGTTAAGAGCTCTGCTCCACACTTGGGCAGGGCAACTTTGGCCACTAACCCAACTCTCTTCATTTTTCTGCTACTTGACATTTTGGCAATGCAATGTTCCGTTGCAACAATAGGGATTCTTATTTGGGCGCAGTCGGGTGATCCAAAACTAATCCGTTCATCCTTACATGTGGCATTGCCCTTACTGCTTATTGCTCTACTCTGCATGCCCTTGGCATTCCTTTTTGGTGTGGTCACTGCAATTGGGCATGTGAAATGGCTTTTAGTCATCATTTGTATTATCTCTGCTTTATTCTTCAGTTGGGCGATCTTTGTCCTTGGCCCTCACGTCATGCTACAGCAGCCATACGTTTCTCCCAATTACGCTGGTGACTTCCTCGTGACTTTTATGGAGTTTAAAGACGTGTTTGGGTTTTTCGTGATTTTGATTAAATCTATATTTCTGCCGTTATTTCATTGCATTTATACCCTATTTCATTGCATTTATAACCTATTTAAATTCATGATTTATAGCCTATATAAAGTCATGATTTATAGCATGATTCGTTTACTTTTATTTTGTATTGGTGTGTAGTATGATTGGTTTACTAATAAAAGCATTGAAACTTTACTAATAAAAGGAGTTTTTGTTCCCTTGATGCAATAGAGCTACGAGATATGTTGGTCACTAAGAAGCGGCATCTTGATAAAATTCATACCAAGTTCTATCAGAATTATCTGTAGTTGTAGAGAAGCCTTAAAAGTATATAATTCCAAGAGATCTTCCCCTAAAATTATGCAGTTATTATAATTGGTTGGATTTATACTGTTTTAAAATTATGAATATTTTTATCTTGGATCCACCTAGGCTTTCTGGTAAGCCAATATATGATCTCATACCGCCAATATTGGAAATACCTAGCGCTTCTTTATTTTCCGTCTAAATCGAGTCATACCGCTTATTTCAAAGTCCAACAGCTCCAACTCGCCATGTCGCTTTCCTATTATGATAGCTTTATTACATATTTACATCTATGGATCCTGAGACTAATAGGACATTGGTTATGGGTAAGGTGCAAGATTTTGAGAGGGTTATGTATGTATGTTGTTAAGGATCATACGCTCGATCCCACTCCCAAGTTCACTTGTTATTCACGGATTAATGAACAACATAAGCATAAAAGAGACACACCAAGCATTTAACGAGTTCCCCATGATGGGTACATCTCGTGTGGTCCTTGTGACCACAAACATCCACTATGAAATGCATCAAAGTACAACCTTTAGGTTACAAATGGAGATAGCTCACTCACATACTCGGTTACACACCATAACCCCGAGCTAAACAACTAGTTCAACTACTAAAGCAACCAAGAACCCTTTCTAGTGTCTCTTAAGCTCTAACTTAAGCTTTCCTTGAACACTACCTGAACCATACCTTTAAGCCCATGAAACAACCTTTGTAATAGCTTCTGTCGCTGTCTCTGTGACACTCGTTGGCTCTGTATCAGACTCTGCAGCATTTCTGGAAAAACACCATCTCTGTTACTGCTTCTTCTGTTTAAACAGACATGAACCTGTTCCAACAGGAACTGCCTCTGTAGCTGCAACAAAGACTGACTCTGTTCCGGTTCTTCAATTTCTCAGCTAGCAATTGACCAATTGTCTATGGCCAAAAGTGTCTGCTTTGCTAAATAAAGAATCAACCAAACAGTTGGCATTGCATGGAAAGAAACAAAAGTTCTTCTACCTCTTCTAAGAACATCGAAATATATGGTGGTATTGGTTGCATTGCTTCCAAAAATGCTCCTTGCCTTTATATGCTTTTTCCAAGCTTTCGTAAGACGGTATATGCACTCTGAATCAGGAGAGTTTCCATTTAAAGTTTTAAATTGTAGATGTAGATTGATTGTTGTAAAATTTAGAGTGTACTGTATGTATGTTGGATTTAGCTTTATGTATGATTGATAATGTTATACTAGTTTAATATTGTGGATTTAGATTTTAACTTTTTAAGTGTGTGAATTTTAAAAATTTATATATGTTAAATAAAATGGCATATCAAATATATGATAAATAGTAAATTTCATATATAAAGTTATAATGATATATTATATTACTTTTGTGAAAATATATATTATATAGTATTTGTACATATTATATCGTATTGATACATATGTATAATAATTAAGTAAACTTTTATATATGGAACTTAAGTAATATGTAAATATAGCATACTATCTTATACGAAACAAAAGTAGTAAAATAAAGTAACTTTTATCTTATGTTAAAAAGTAAAATGTAGTGATATGCAACAAATTAATAAAATAATTAATGTTTTGTTAAAAGTCGTTGACTAAAGTATGATGTCCATGAAAAGAAAAAGTTTCAAGCTATCGTAGATTATTTTTGCCGGTAGAATGTAAATACAGCAACAGTATAAACTAGTAATAAACTTGCTATGAAGTTAGATTTCAGGTATTCCTACAATCAATGGCTCACTAGAGCTTGTCTATTAGTTTCTGCTATCTCAACTTGCTCTCTGGTTTGGTTAGTTGGGCTACAACAGTGAAACCGTAACTAGGAAGATAGATAATAAAACCCAATTAATCCAGAATTCTGTCTAAATCAAAACGAAGATAAAGAGATAGATGATGAAGACGAACGAGTGATTCATATCACAAACAGAGTCACGCTTGTCACTTTGTCCCAGAAAAATACAAATTCGGACTTTTTTTTTTTGTTTAGGAGACGACTTCAAAGTCTTTCTAATGAGTTAGTATAACTAGGGTCATCGTACGAAAACTCTGTGTGTGGTGGATTACATTTTTCATTTAAGACAAAGACAGGTTTAAAAAAGAAGATAAGAAGGACCTTTCCTTAATTTATAGGAGACCACCACTCCTCCCGATTATCATGACTCGAAACTTTGACAACTTTTAAAATTAAGGGACGAACTTACAGTGTCAATCTCGTCAACCTTTAGCAACTCCTCATGCATCACTCATTTTCTTCTTCTACTTCGTAAGTCTTTCTCTGCCCCCTCTTCATGCAATGGACAATATATGGTTGGCTTTTTTTGTTTGTGGTCATGGAATTTAGTAACTATTAGGATATATATCAATATAGTTACATAGATACGATTCTATCAAGACTAGGCAATCTGTATGTGTATAAATACTCTTCTACTCTATTGAGTATTGAATAAAGCAAGACATTACGTTATATTTCAGTAACTTAAATCTGTGTTTTCAAACAATTTTTGTGATGATTTTAGGTTTGAGATGGATGGTTCTGGAACAGATCTAGATAGAATTGAGGCACAAAGGCCAACGGATGTGTCTCACGGTCAACGGAACGGAACATACATAAGTGCCGGAGGTACGTGAGTGACTCATAGGGGACTCCATAAATACTAAATATTCATTATATGTGCTTTATTAACAAGTATAGCCCTTGTTAAAAAAATCGTTAGGCGTTAGTCGGGCGTTCGAGCTGGGCCTAGCGATTAATCGGTTAATCGGAAATTACACGGAAATTAATCGGGGATTAGTTTTAGGGCTTTTATCTAATATTTTGGATATATATGAATTATTTGTTTAGAAAGGATATAAACTTGGTTTGGTGTAGTGGTTTCAGTTGAAATAATGCACTAATAAACCCAGGTTCGAGTCTCAAGATTTCATTTTTGCTCTTTTTTAATTTATTCTTTAATGAAGGGTAAAACGGACTTTACCAATCATCTTCTTCACAGATTTTGACGAGTTCTTAAACCTAAGAATGGCGGCTGCTGGTATTTTAATACGTTTGACATCATTTTTGAGTCGTTTTTCTTCTTGAATCTGCACAAATATGATAGATCTGACATGTATAATAGAATTTTTAATCATAAACTACAAAAAATTGTTGTTCTCCGATTAATTCTCTGATTTGGACAAATCCCGGCGGCTACCTACCGCCGAACGCTTAACCGGCGCTTAGGCGGCCGCGGAGGCCGCGTTTTTGAACAAGGAGTATAGCTAGTGACTCCATTATGAAATAATTATTGACCCCCTACCAAACCAATCTACATAAAGAACAAAAAAAAACTATTCTAGTACTTTATTCTTGTTAAAAATAACTAGGACTTAGACATCGCGGGGGAAAAGATTTCAGGCTATTTTGAAGAAAAACGAAATGTCATAATGAATTGAGACAACAAGTTTCAAAACAATTTTTTTTTAACAATAAATAAAGATATATTTTACAAAAAAAATATGATAAAGAAACGTAAACTCTCACAAATACTTTTTAAGATTTGTATTATTATTAGAAAATATTATGGTGAAACAATACGACCATAAATAAAAATTATTACACAAAAAGTTATAATGAGTAGATGCAATTTTTCAATTTTCTAAAGTATTATAAATATAACTAGCTATAAAAATATATTCATCAAAATATTACGATAAAAAGACATAATATTTTAAATTGTATTATGTTAAAAAGAGACAATCTTCAGAAAAATTAAATAAATAACCAAAATAGATATTTATTTAGAAAAAAATAATAATCATATAGATAACAAAGTATATATATGAATGCTAAATAGCAAAAAATGTAACTTTCTATGAAAAATATCAAAAAAAAAAAAAAAAAATTTAAACCACTTTTAAAAACATAATATATATACATATATAGAGCTACAAAGAGATGAAAGTTTAAATAGATAAATTGTTTGTAAAAGATACAATTATTAGAACTAAGTGTATGTGCTAAAAACACGAATAAAACATGGTGATAAGATAATACTCTAGATGAACAGATATAACTTTAGTTAATGCTTTATTCAAAAAAAAAAGTCTTAGTTAATGCCCTAAAAAATGTATCACAAAAGGCAATATTGCAACGGTTCATCAAATATACATAAAGTTGTAATAATTCATCAAATAAACTAAAGTTGCAATGATTCATCAAATATATCAAATATTGTAACGGTTCATCAAATAAACGAAATGTTACAACGGTTCATTAGATAATCCAAAATATTCATTGGTTCGTCAAATAAACCAAATGTTACTATGTTCTATTAAACGGTAGCAACATATTCATTTATAGTAATTAAAATTAAAAATTTGATGAAGAACTATAACCAAAAGAAGTGACCGTAGAATATACCAAATGTTGCAATGGTTCGTCAAATAAACTAAAGATTACCACGGTTCATAAAATAGTTACAAAACTTGCAATAATTTGTCAAATAAACCAAATATTGCAACGGTTCAATTAAACGTTTAAAATTTCATTTAATTATATTTTAGTAACTAAAATTGAAATAATAGTTTAGAGAAAGTTATACCGAAAGACGTGACTATAGATAATTAAATTTTATAATGGTTTATAAAATAAACCAAGAGTTGCATTTGTTCGTGAAATAAACTAAATGTTGCAATGGTTCAACTAAACGGCTGCAACCGTTTACGAAAAGTTACGATAAAAAAAAAGTAACCGTAGAAGACATTTATTCGGATCGCAACTTTCTAAAAAAATTCAACCGTATAATATATATTTTTAGTTTTTTCAAAAATTAAATGTTTTAACGATTTATAGAATAAATCAAAAATTATAATTGTTCGTTAAATAAAGTAAATGTTGCAATGGTTCAACTAAACATCGCAATTGTTTATGAGGTGTTACGATAAAAAGATGCAACCGTAGAAAATATTTATTCAGATTGCAACTTTTTGAAAAAGCAACCATATAATACTCCCTCCGTTTCATAATATAAGGCGTTTTGGATAAAGTATTTTGTTTCATAATATAAGTCGTTTTCGGGTTTCAATGCAAATTATATATTATTTTAATATTTTATGATTATTTATATTATGCAATCTCTTTTATGATTGGCTAAACTTTAAAAAAGTAGATCTTCTTAATCTGCGTGCTTTTACCTAAAACGACTTATATTTTGAAACGGAGGGAGTATATGTTTTAGTTTTAAAACCAAAATTTAAATCTATATAATATGAGACATAACTTTAAATGAATAGATGCAACTATGAAGACACAACCGTAAACTGAAAAGATACGACTGTTATTTGCACAAATATAACTGTAAAAAAAACTGTAAATATGTTAACGAAGAGATGCGATAAAAGACACAACCGTAAATATATCAACGAAAAGACGCAACCAAAATAACCGTAAAAAATAACCGATTTAAACGAAAGATTGCGATAAAAAGACGCAACCGTTCAGATATGCAAATGGTATTTATTATATTGCTATTATATATAGATTAAGAACTACTGTAATAGTAATGTACCTATCCAAGTTTTATACTATGATTTTGTAAAAAATCTACCGAATTTGTTTCTAACAAACGCACCAGATTCTTTTTCCCTTGTGAATTATCAACAACAACAACAAATCATAAACACTTAAAATTTAGATTAAAATTGCATTGAATCTTAGGTAAAGATATTTCTGATTTTATTAATTTATTTTATTTTGATATGTACAAATTTATATTTTAGATTTATAAGTTATAAGATTCCATAGTTGAACTCATAAACTTTGTATCATGAAACGGATGAGTGGTTGATTCCATTGGTGACATAAAACGGTAAAAAAAAAAAAAAAATTGATAAGCAATGCAAAAATACTAAATAGTTAGAAGTGGTAAAAGTTAGGGTAAGAGATGATTGTACAAAAACTTTCTTATATCTAATAAATAACATACTATGATTTTTTGTTTAGCTCCGCTACTCGCCACGAACATACCCCGTTCAAATGATTCCTTTCAAAACGGAGGAGATGGCGCCACTCCACCTACGGGAGACACCGAATCTGTGCCAGAGTATCTTACTAACCTTAGATTGTCGGATTTTTTCGCTTTCCCTGGTGAAGATGTCCAGATGACTCCGGAGATTTTTAGTGGAATGAGTGATGGGAAGAAAGAATGTCTGGAGAAGTTGAGAAGCCAAGGAATGCCAATGGCACGTCTCAAGAGCAATACAGGAGATTCAATTCTTCATCTTGCTGCTACATGGGGTCATCTAGAACTAGTGAAGGAGATCGTCTCTGAATGTCCGTGCCTTCTCTTGGAGCAAAACTCAAGCGGTCAGACACCGCTTCATGTGGCGGCTCATGGTGGTCATACCACTATTGTTGAGGCTCTTGTTGCGTTGGTAACATTTGCTTCAGCTAGACTGTGTAATGAAGAGAGTGAGAGACTGAATCCATATGTTCTCAAGGACACAAATGGAAATACTGCTCTGCACTACGCCATTAAAGGGTCCTATTCCGAGATGGCTACATGTCTGGTGAACGCGAACAAGGATGCTCCTTTTCTTGGAAATAACAAGGGAGAATCTTCCTTGTTTGTGGCAATAGATACTGGATATGTGATCCTTGTGAAAACGATTTTGAAAACTATTGGCAACGAGGACCTTGAAGAGAAGATGTCTAAATTAGATTCGAAGTTAGAAGGGAAAAAATATCTTGCACATGCTGCTTTGAAGGCCATGAATAAAGGTTTGTTTTTCGCATTAACTAGTACGCATTTAGTCTGTTCAAATTATATAAAACCAATTTGAGACAAAAAAAAATTCCTCCGTAAGAAGGTAAAAATCTTCCTATGTGTACTAATTTGTTTCCAATTGTTTGAGTAGGTGCCCTTGATGTTATTCTTGACGAATATCCAAGTCTTATGGACGTGCGAGATAAAGATGGTAGGACTTGTCTTTCACTCGCAGCATATATAGGGTATTATGAAGGAGTATGCAACCTCTTAGACCGATCAACAAAGTGTGTTTATGTCTGCAATAATGATGGTTCCTTTCCAATCCATACGGCTGCAGAGAAAAATGAATTGTTCATTGTCAAAGAGATTCTTAGACGTTGTCCAGATTCAAAATACCTTCTTAACAAACTTGGTCAGAACGTCCTCCACGTTGCAGCAAAAAATGGGCACTCATGGATTTCGAATTGGTTGATGATAAATAAAGATACGAAACATTTGGGTGTTGGGCAAGACGTGGACGGGAATACACCTTTGCACCTTGCCGTCATGAACTGGCACTTTGACTCCATTACTTATCTTGCTAACAGTATCGAGATACTGAATTTACGAAACAAAAGCGACTTAAGCGCTAGTGATATTGCCCAGTCAGAGGTGAAACCCAACTACATCTTTCATGAGGTATGTCTAATTCCGTTTCATACAACACATTTGATCCCTCATAAATGATTTATAGCTTAACCCATTTTTTGGATTACAGAGGTGGACGCTAGCTCTCTTATTATACGCTATGCACAAAAAAGGTTTCAAATATGTACACTCATTAACAAGACCATCAGAGCCACTAGACCATAAGAATAACAGAGATTACATAAACACTCTTCTGCTGGTAGCGGCTCTTGTAGCCACAGTGACGTTTGCTGCAGGTTTTACAATACCAGGTGGGTTTAACAGCGATGCCGAAAAACCCAACTTGGGCAGGGCAACATTGGCCAAAAACCCGACTCTCTTCATTTTTCTGCTATTTGACATCTTGGCAATGCAAAGTTCTGTTGCAACAATATGTACTCTTATTTGGGCGCAGTTGGGTGATCCACTACTCATCCGCGAATCTTTACATGTGGCCTTGCCCTTACTACTTTTTTCTTTACTATGCATGCCCATGGCATTCCTTTTTGGCGTGATCACTGCAATTGGGTATGTGAAATGGCTTTTAGTCATCATTAGCATTATATCTGGTTTATTCTTCCTTTGGGCAATGTTTATCCTTGGCCCTCACGTCATGCTACAGCGGTCGCACCTTTCTCCCAAGTTTGCTGGTAAATTTCTCAAAACTTTTATGATGTCTAAAGACATATCTGAGATCTTTTTGTTTGTGATACGGTATATATTTTTTCGTCATTTCTAAGAGTTTGTAGCCTATTTAAAGGCATGGCAAGGAATGGTTCGTATGAATAAAGCATCGACAGTATATTGATCAAATGTGATTTTTGTTCTCTTGAAGCAACAGAGCTACAAGATATGACGGTCTCTCTAAGAAGTGGCATCTCGATATAATTCATACCTATTTCTATCGGGAAAATTCTCAAAAAAAAACCCCAACAATTTAGTATTTGCTAGAAAAAAAACTGAACTTTTTTCGTTGCCGGAAAAAAACCCAACTATTTTAAAGCTGACAAAACAAACACGAACTTTTTTTTTTTCCAATTTCTCCTCGTCTCCGTTACCATTTTTTGGGAAAATTCTTGGAAAAAACCCGAGTTAGTTAATTTTGCCAGAAAACTACCCAAATTATATTTTTTGTCAGAAAAATACACAAATCAACATTTTTTTTCTCTGTTTGTCTTCCATCAACAATGTAAGGTGGTGAGAGCTCATAACTTTATGTGTTCTCTTAAACCTCATACAAGTATTTAAATTTAAGAACAAAGATACACAATTAGATTAGTCGATTTTCAAATTTCTCAATTAGATTTGTTCTTGGATCAATTTACACTTTACAAATTTTGGGACATCATCAACAATGGAACTCTAAATTTCTTGAGAGCCCCCAAAACCTTTGTAGATTTTCAAAAATTCTTTACATAAATCGAAAAAATACTTCAAATCAAGCAAAATCCACCAAAAGTATAGCTAAAGCTAACTTAATCAAACCAACTCAACACTAAGAAAAACGACTAATCTAATTGTGTTTTTTGTTCTAGTTAGGAAATTGGGGAATCAACTAATGTAATTGTGAATTTTGTTTTAATTAGAAAATTGAAAAATCGATTAATCTAGTAGTAGTGAGAACTTGTATGAGGTTCAAGAGAGAACACATAAATTTATGAGTTCTAACCACCTTATATTGTTAATGAAATAAAAGAAGAGAAGAAAAATGTTGATCTGTGTATTTTTCTGGAAAAATTAAATAACTTATGCTTTTTTAAAAAAATTTCCAAAAATAGTAATGGCGTCAATGACGGTGTTAACGGCCGTAGCAGAGACGAGAGTAAATTAGAAAAAAATAGTTTATGTTTGTTTTGTCACGAGTAAAATAGTTTGAGTTTTTTTCCGACAACGAAAAAAATTTAAATTTTTTTTTGGCAAATATTAAATAAATGGGGTTTTTTTGCGAATTTTCCTTATTTATATCAGAATTAGCGTTAGTTGTAGAAAAGACTGAAAAGTGCCTAATTAGAAGAGATCTTCCTCTAAAATTATGCAGTTATTTATCTTTGGTTTAGTGGATACCGGTTTGCTTATCTCTCGAATTTTAATTCAATCTTACACACGTAGTATGTAAAAATTCAATATAGCGCATGTGAACATTTCTTTTAAAACTTCTTTTAATTAAAAAAGATTTTTTTGGGTTTTATGTAAAAAAATTCTCTAACTCATTCATTTTTGCAACTTTACTTTCTATCTTCGAAAAATACAGATTAATCGTACAAAATCTAAAATAATACGCATTTTGATGAGACAGGCTCTATCAAGATATGAATCTCATCATATCTCCAATAATCTTTCATCTGGTTATTCCCTCATTTACTTTTGACTTCCTTCTCTCTTTTTTTTTTTTTTTTAATGTATACGATTTTTTTCTTTTCTTAATCTTACAGCTTACTCATGTCTATAGGAATGTCATATCGGATTATTTTGCTTCACTAAACCCACCATGTAGTTGATTAAAATATTTTCTGTGTTTTTGGCGAGTTGGCGCAACACTGTAGAACTAGAATCACCAACACTACTAACCCAATCCATTTTATGACCAGAGATACTGCTGTCGATTTGCATGTTTTTTTAAATCTCAGTTTTTTCTTGTTTAGTTATTTTGAGAAGTAGAAAAAAATTTCAACTTAATTTTTATACATAGTAAAATAAATTTATGATAGATTACAATTATAATTATTACTTAATAAATTGAATATACAAATCATAAATATCCATATTTTAAATCAATATTGATAATTTTAATTATATTATTATGTTGGTTGGTTAACTCATTGGCTATGCGAGTTACCTAATTTGAGATTGTAATCCGCAATAGACTAACTCACTAGTCCTGCTTTTCTAGACATCTGAAAGTATAACCCTAACCCTCCCTATAATGAAGCAGATTATGTCCAACTCGCGATTCAAAATCCGAATTGACATGGCCGAACCATTTCAATAAAACCATATGAATTCTTGCGTTTAGGGAAGTTTGTTTCCTTTTTTCTCTTTGAATTTGATTCCTATATTGTGTAGTTCTCAAACTGATGCTCTTGCTCGTCAAATTCATATAAACGATTTGCTTTTCTTTTAGACGTTTTTGCATCGGATTGGTTTACCAACTCCACTCGATAAAAAAAAAATACTTCCCAAAAAAGAACAATGCTAATGCAATAAAATTCCCTAATATGATTGTCTATCTTTTATTACATAAAAATATGATTCTGTTTTTTTTTTTTGGCTGTCTATCTTTCAATACTTTAAAAAGTTTTTTTAAGGCGATTTGTCTTTTCCCGAATAGGAATTTGAGTGAAAAACAATCCTCTCTTTTAATTTCCACTAATATCAAATCGGCGAATATTGTTCCCACCATTCTTATCTCCTTGTCGTCATTCAGATTTTTTAATTGAATTTTTTAAAATGGGATCGCTTTAATCTTCTTTAATTTATATTTTTCCAACATTGGCGTCTTCGTTAAAGCTTTCCACAAATCATCTCAAATCTATTTGGAGGAGACTCTCAAATGTATCCTTCTCTCGACGATGATGATTTCGTCTCTGATTTGTTTTGCTTCGATCAAAGGTTCTTCCTTTCGACTCTCTCTTCCTTCTTCCTTCCTCTGTTCTCTCTATCTGTTTCGATTCTGTTGTTTAATCGAATTTGATCCATTTTCCAATTGCAAAATCCTATCTTTAATGTTCAATTCGATTTCTGTGAAAAGGGTTGTTGTTTTTCCGCATTTCAGGGGAAAAAGTTTGAGTCTTTTGATGTAATTTGACGAACCCTAATGTAATTGAAAGCTGTTAAATTGAATAGGAGAAGAAGTAGCTCTATGGATCTTGTTGTTGTGTTAATCTATTTATTCCTAATTGATGGATGTGGATCTTTTTGTTCATAATGACTCTTGCAGTAATGGAGCAGAACTTGATGATTACACACAATTTGGTGTAAATTTGCAGCCTGATCAAGAAGATACCTTTCCAGATTTTGTGTCATATGGTGTGAATTTGCAGCAGGAGCCAGAAGAAGTCTTTAGTATTGGAGCTGCTCAATTGGATTTGTCGTCGTATAATGGAGTTTTGTCGCAAGAGCCTGAACACGTAGGGCAGAAAGATTGTGGAATTGTGCAGGAAGATGAAGTAGAGATCAATTCTGGTTCATCTGGTGGAGCTGTTAAGCAAGAACAGGAACATTTAGATGACGATTGCTCGCGGAAGCGGTAAGTGTTGGAAAAATATAAACTTTGTGTGATTTGGTGATAGTTGGTTGTGTTTTTGATAGAATCTGTGATGGTTGTTAATAGGGCAAGGACTGGATCGTGTAGCAGAGGAGGAGGAACCAAAGCGTGTCGTGAAAGAATGAGGAGGGAGAAGCTAAACGAGAGGTATGTTTAGAGCTGAGTCTATGTGTTAATTGAGATATTGTTTTGTGAAGTAAGTTGTCTCAAGAGGAAAAACATGTTGTTGTTGTTGTGTTAGGTTCATGGATTTGAGCTCGGTTTTGGAGCCTGGGAGGACTCCTAAGACAGATAAACCGGCTATACTCGATGATGCAATCCGTATATTGAATCAACTTAGAGATGAAGCTCATAAACTTGAAGAAACTAACCAAAAGCTTTTAGAGGAGATCAAGAGTCTCAAGGTTGGTTGTTCGTTCACTTTCGCATAAACCAAGAATCTTGTTCTATGGAAGGAGAGCAGATTTCTAAGTTTGTATGTTTCTTTATAGGCGGAGAAGAACGAGCTGAGGGAGGAAAAGCTGGTGTTGAAGGCGGATAAAGAGAAGACGGAACAACAGTTAAAGTCTATGACGGTTCCATCTTCAGGGTTCATGCCTCAGATTCCAGCTGCATTTAACCACAACAAAATGGCTGTTTACCCGAGTTACGGTTACATGCCAATGTGGCATTATATGCCTCAGTCGGTTCGTGACACATCTCGTGATCAAGAACTCAGGCCTCCTGCTGCATAAACTCTCAATTGTTTTTTTTGGTACCCATAGGGAACTTATAGAGATATCTGAATCACTTGGTTTAGGATTCTTCCGTTTGGCAAGTGTAAAAGCTTTACTCTTGATCTTGGGTTGTATTTTTAATATAAAATAAATATAACTCCAGAAACTTGTGATTTTCTTGTATCTTGTAGATTTATGCATAGAGACTTTTGACTGTGTGATCTGATTCATCTGAGTTTGAAAAGTTTCAGACCAAAATTAAAATGCTCTCGTTGAGAGTCGAACTCAAGACCTCCCGCTTACTAAACGGGTGCTCTAACCAACTGAGCTACGAGAGCTTCTTGTTGTTGTTATCTTCTGTATGTAAATTAATATTCTTACCATTTACTATATGTAAATTAATATTCTCTTACTCGTTAGCCATTTCGTGAGGAAAGTGAAAATGGATTTAATGAGGTTGAAATGGTGAAATAGATCAGTCACATTGTGAAATAAGAACAAGAACAACAAAATCTAAATTGAAATGGTGTCTCTCTAAAGAACCATAAATATCTCTACAAAAAAAGTGTCATAAAAGCTTCATGAAGTAGATTTTGCCTTTCAATGGCCTCATAGGATACACTCTTTAAACCCGTCCTGGATTCGAAAATGACAATAAAATACAGACCGAATAAACCGATGAAAGATGAGGTTTTTTCAGTTTGCTTTTGCCTTTGGAGCCTTTTTCCTGAGTTGCCTACCGTGTTTCCTTGAGTTCTTCATACCAATGAAGAAGAGCAGTGCTCCAAGGAGAGCCAAGCTCTGAAGAATCAAACACAAAAAAAAAAAAAAGATCTCAGGTCTAGATTAAGAATGAATTTAGAACTCAAATTTCAACCCGTAAAACCACTATTGATACCGTAAAACCACTACTTATATTATTTTTACGACTGGATGTATTTGGACTTCATTCTTGCTTATTTCTAGGCAAGGATAACCAACAAAAAAACAATATTAGATTTGCTAACCTGGGTAAACTTTGAAAATAGTTGGCCGAATTCCTTTCTGTCAACATCATAGTTGTAGAAATCATACAGAATCGGGGTGGCAACGGCTTGATGCAGAAGCTGAAACCAGATTACATAGAGTTTAACAGGGTTATTTTCTTCATTTCAGATAAGCGACAATATATTCGAAAGGAACAGTTGCTACATACCAAGAGATAAGCTCCCAAGGTGCTGCCAAAGACGAACAACAGTCCCCCAATACCCTTCAAGGCTATGGCAGCAGCAACGAGAATCTTCATCTGCAAACCAAAGCAGAGAGAATAAAACAAGATAACTAAAAAAAAGAACCATTTGTTTACTGTTTTTGGACAAAGAATAGACATGAAGAAGCACATACATCGACTGGGGGCAATTGCTGGCCAGTATGAGTTGTCACATGGTTTACAAAGGCATTGAATTTTGGTTTCAAAGATTTAGCTGATCGGCCACCATCCTCACCAAAATCATTAAACCTGCTCAATGAAGCAACAAAAATATTGTAACTTTCAATCAGTGAGGGAAAAAACAAAAGAGAGGTAAACTGTCTCTGTAAGTGACTCAAATCACAATGCATCTCATATAAACCAAGCAGAGAGAGTCAAGAGGAACAAAGACAAAAGGAAATAGTTTTCTTAAAGAGATAAGCAATCGTAGTAGTAATTGACACCACTAATAAAGAACTCTACTTCAATCAATGTATAAGGATTGTGTAACTTAAAACATGAATTTGGAAGAGAAACAACATTGACCATATGAGTTCATTGATTGAGTCAATGGAATGACAACAATCATAAGAAAGCACCTAGTAAGATTTGCTTGGTTCCAAGACTTTAGAATCATGTGTTTAAATAACCAACTACCAACCACCAACGAGACCAACTTCAGGACAACCCAATTAATGAGCAATAAAAGAAAGAACTTTAGAAAACCAAAGTGCCAAAATTAGTGAAAGAGATGAGTAAAAGAAGAAAATCTAGCAATGTTGAAGAGTTATTGACCAATCATGAACAAAGTCTAACCAGAGATATCTTATCTATCAAATTCAAATTCAAATTCAACCCCATCAAAGCAAGCAAGATCCATACTTTTCCTCTCACTGTCCAACATTCTATTTCATTTTCTTCTCCAAACCTCACTAAGCTATGATTCAACAAGATTCACGAACTAGAGCCCAGATTGTGAATTTTCTCAGATAAAAAGAAAAAAACAGATCCTACTATAGTCAAAAGAGCAGATCTAAAACGAGTCAGGAGAGAATATTGCTTACTCTTGCCATGCGGAGAGAAGAAAGACGGAAACAAACAGAGCTCTACCAAGAAAAGAAGCTAACTCCATTGAAGCTTTTATTTTTCTTCTCCCGAATCAAACGCAGAGACCAAAAGAGAGAGAGAGAGAGAGAGAGAGAAGTCAGATTTGGGTCTTTAAATCGACAGACATAAAAAGGAGGAGAAAGAAAACGAAGAGGCCGATTTTGAAATATTTAGAAATTTTTGGGGTCAAAAAGGTGATATATTTATTCCGTCGACCTACTCGCGCGAGTACAATAATGGGGTTTTTTGTACTCGCTACTTCGTTGGGAAGTAAACGCCACGTAGGATGCTTTACACGTTGCCTGGCCAATGGCATTCGTCCGAGTCATTTAAGTAATTTAAGCCGGCAACCAATAAAACGTGACCCATTTACTACGGTAAGACGAACACAACTTTTTTTGTACGAATATAATTGTAATATGTCTTCTGGATGTTAAAAAAAAATGTATTTTGTTATAAATAAATGTTTTTTTACTGAGTATAACTTTTTGGATGTAAAAAAAAAGAAGGTATTTTGTTATAAATAAATACTTAACAGATTTCATTGATTGAAAATTATTACATAACTTTGAGAATCACATCTCGCTTGTTTTGCTATACTATATGCACCTAATTTGCTAGATTACATGTGTGCATAAAATTAAAATTACAAAGGTTTAAAATTTTCACAATGTGAGCAAGATAGATTAATGCAATGGAAGATGTTATGTAGTGTGGTCTGCTGAAGTGCGTGATATATCAATTTTAGGTCACTACACAGAATAACATCCCAGCCTGCAGAGATCAAGAACTGCAAGTCGTAGTGCCTTAGCCCCTGCTTCTACCGGACCATGAGTTGGTTTTAACTTTTAAGGCACCTGATCCTTTGAGTATCTCTGTCTACTTTTCTTAGTTTTTTTATTTGTTAGATAGGTATATATTTTATTTTTCCGATAAAAATTTGTATTTTTCTATTTTTATTTTTAAATATATTAATAAATAATAAATTTAGATTTAAGACATGACAACATCTAGTATTTTTTTTATTTGACACATTTGATGTTCATGTGGTTAGTAATTTGAAAACCAAGTTTTATACAGATAAAAAAAATATTATAAGATGGAAGTTGGCAAGAAAAAAAACAACCTCCAGAAATCTCAATTTTCGTCAAGAAAATGTTTAAAAACGAAAACACGGACTCTTTGAAAACTGATCGTTCACCAACTTTTATATACTTAATGAAACATTTTTCATCAACTTGCCTTTGAAATTTTGTCTTTTCACTTCACTAAGTTTGCTTATTAATTAACGTAAGATCCCCAGTCTCTTATTTTGTTCATTGATCTTTCACAACTTGGAGACAATAACGAAACGAAATTATGAACGATTCGAATACTATGGCGGAGAGTAACAATCAATCTCAACCGGATTTAAGTGTAACACTAGATATATCAGCGACAACCACTTTGTTGCCCGATCAAATTCCCCCAGATCAGCGGGATCTTTCGTATTTTTCTGGTTTGGTTTATAATCTCTAATGTCATAATATTCCTGTTTTTAATTCAACTAGGTATGGATCTTATTATATTTTTGTTTCCACAGCTGAACGGAGAAGTGAATATCTCAATATATGTGTTCCTCTGTATCAAGCTGCTATGAATGGTGACTGGAAAGTGGCTCGTCCCATTATCGATCAGCACGAAGGTATTGCCCGAGCAGCGATAACCCGTAACTGGGAGACGACTCTTCACATTGCTGTTGCTGCAAAACACACCAGGTTCGTAAAGAATTTACTCACAAGAATGGAGAGAGATGATTTGGCACTGAGAAATCAAAGTAACAACACGGCTCTTTGTTTCGCTGCTGCTTCTGGGATTAAAGAAATAGCAAAAATGATGGTAGATATGAACCCGGATCTTCCGCTGATTCCAGGCAATAGTGAATTGATTCCACTCCATATGGCTGCTTTGTTTGGACACAGAATTATGGTTATTTACCTCTATAGTCAAACTGATTTCACAAGCTTGAGTAATGTACAACTTGTAGATATCTTTCATGCCATCATATATGCCGACATTTTTGGTAAAACAATCTTTTTTTCCATGATGATCAAATTATGTATGAAAATTTGGTTACAAGTGTCATGATGAAGCTAGTTTTGAGTTTGATTGTGCAGATGTAGCGTTGTGGATGTTGGAAAGATACCAAATACTAGCTACTTCTTGTAACCGTGCTATGGAAACCGGGTTACATCTTTTAGCTCGCAAGCCTTTGGCTATCGGTCATAGAAAAAATCTCAATTTCTTTCAGTGGTTAGGGCATTTAAGTAAGTTGTATAAACAAATAGTTCTTATATATTAATTGCAAATCCATGTACAAACACTGTTTTTTTTTTGTGTGGCCTTTAGTGTTTGAAGGGATGTTTCATAAAGCTAAAATGAGAAGCTTGGCTCACAAGTTGGTGGAGGATATATGGAACTTGATTATTCAAAAATCTGATGAAGAGGTTTCGGATTTATTGAGAAAACCTACAAGACTACTCTTTGATGCTGCATCATGTGGAAATGTCGAGTTCCTAGTCATTCTTATTCGTTCGTATCCGGATTTGATATGGAAAGTCGATAGAAGAAACCGAAGCTTGTTTCACATTGCTGCTATAAATCGTCATGAAAGCATCTTCAACATCATATATGAACTCGGAGCAATCAAGGACTTAATAGCTTCTTATCGAGAAGAAGCCACAAATAATACTTTGTTGCATCTTGTTGCAAGCTTGCCTCCTCATGATCGACTACATATTGTATCAGGGGCTGCACTTCAAATGCAAAGAGAGATTCTTTGGTTCAAGGTAATTATTAAACACATGAAACCATGCAATAATCATTTTCTTTAACAATTTTAATTACCATACTATATTGCGAATTTCAGGCTGTGAAAAAGATTGTTCCTCGTTCATACATCAAATCAAAGAATAAAGAAGGGGAATTAGCGCAAGACATCTTTACTAATGGACACAAAGAATTACGGAAAGAAGGAGAGAAGTGGATGAAAGATACTGCAACATCATGTATGCTTGTAGCAACGCTAATAGCAACGGTAGTTTTTGCCGCGGCCTTTACCGTACCAGGAGGGAACAATGAAGAATCAGGACTTCCTATCCTCCAAAAAAAGAAATGGTTTAATATATTTATCCTATCGGATGCGGTCGCGCTATGCTCTTCCTCAACATCTATAGTGATATTCTTGTCAATCTTGACGTCAAGATATGCTGAAGATGATTTTCTTGTGTCATTACCCTCAAGGCTAATGTTGGGACTTTTGGCATTGTTTGTCTCCATTATCGCAATGGTCATAGCTTTCTGTGCGACGTTATTCTTGATCTATGACCGGAGACTCGCGTGGAATTTAGCCTTCATTATTTCACTTGCTTCAATCACAGCTTTTTCTTTTGCCTTGCTACATGTGCAGCTTTGGTTTGACACACTTCGATCAGCCTATTGGTCCAAGTTCCTCTTTCAACACCGTAAACATCGGCTGCATTAACCCACACGCACTCCTAGGGTTTGCAATGTTTTTTTTTTTATTAAAGATTTTATTTTCTGTCATATCCTCTACGCTTATTCTCTTTTGAAGTTCTTACTTTTTCTGGTTCATCGTCTGATTTTTTCCCGTTAAATTCTAAAAAAAAACATGAAAAAAAACATGTATGATATTAAATTTGTATACGGGAATTAAGTTTTCTGCATATCCATCTAGATCCTCCTTTAGGCACACTCATTTCAAGTTTTTATAGTCAAACATTATACTATCTTCCTCAGAGACAGAGATATCAGATATGCATGCATGTTTAATTTTCTGATCAAAGTATTACTAGAATTGTCTATATCTTTGTTCTTTTATTTGCCAATAATTATATAAAAAAAATTGTTTTCCTGTGATTGTAACCGCAAGTGATGCGAGGAGAACAAATGGTTTTCTATGAAGGAATTTAGGGTACGGTTTTACCGATGATCTTATCAAACGTATTGAGCCTGATTGGGACTATGAGTAAGTTTCCAAATAATTGATGTGTTCATGTACTTCTAAAATTTTTATCTAATGTTACAACTAGCTCTTACCTTAATTTTATCCACTGCAATTATTGTAAAATAAAATAATTCTATAAAACTCATAATATAATTTTTTTATTAAAATACTATCAATATGTGAGGTAGACTTCAGATATTAATAACAACCGACAACAACAAAATCTAACAAAACTAATACTCCCTCTTTATTACAAAGAATGATTTTTGAGGATTTTCACCAAGATTAAGAAAATAATAAATGATGTATATTTATTAATTATTTTTGTGTTATATCTTTTACAAAGTTAATTTCAAACTGCGTTTTACCCCACTTACTCCAATCAATTGATCTTGAAAATAAAAATACATTAAATATACTTTAGTAAATTATTATTTTTTGATACAAGAATAAAACCTCAAAATCATTCTTTTTGATACAGAGGAAGTAGCAATCAATAACAAAAGAGAATACCAAAAGACATGAAATAATATAATCCAAATCAAAACTGAATAGCAAAATTTTACTCTTTAAAATTATAACAATTATTTTTACTTATTATTTTTATATTTACCACATCATTTCATTCATTCCGCAAGACAATATATCGATATTTTTATATTATTCTCATAATTATTTAAATAATCAAATAAATAAAAATGGTAAAGTTATAATTTGGTATCTATAAAATTAGGTTTATAAATATGTAATTGTTTCATTTGACCAAAAAAAAAATTGTAATTGTTTCATAAATATTGCTTCGATATATTTTAGTGGTTCATGATTTTAGATTTCTTTACTATATGTTATTTTAAAACTACTTTATTCATTAAACTAAACTAATTTGTAAAGATTTATTTTTAAGTTCTAGTTTTAGTTATTTATCTTTTTTTTTTCTTATGTCATAGTAGAATAAAGAATTCAATATGTCGTTGTATTATATGAATTCTATGTAAGATTATTCATTTTTATTCTACTATAGTTACTCTTATATATTTTTTATAGTCAAGCGTCATTGAAGATTTATTTTGTTAAAGGATCTTCATAAGCGTCATTGAAGATAATCTACAAAATGGTCAAATTTCCAAAGTTTCATTGTCTTACTCATTCAAAGTCCATAAAAGACGAATATACATACGCAACTTTTTGTTTTTTGCAAAGTATACACTAATTTTACTACCTAAACCATTTCTCGAGAAGTGACAAAAGCTGTGACCAAATTCCATATTTCCCATCTAATCGTGACTAAGCACTCAAGTAGTGACCAATAGAATTGAATTTACCCTTAATTCTGAAGTTCTGGTAGTTATATGGTATGTATAATTTTAAAATATAAGTAGAATCTTTATAATTCTCTTCATATACCGCTGTATTTTACAAAATCGGAGTTTTACAATAAATTACAATATTGTAAAAATCGGAGTTTTATCAATAAAAGTCTAAACTTCGAAGGAAATAACGTCATCTCATAGGCTGCATAAAGGGACCAGTACATCGGGGTGAAGTATTGGTCGGATGGGTGATGCCAACAGATGGCTGGGTTAAGCTTAACACGGATGGTGGTTCATACGGGAATAAAATAAAATTTACATCACTTATATAAGTGATTCTGAAAATGCTGATGCAAATAAGTGACTCTTAAAATTTACATCACTTAAATAAAATTTACATTACTTAATTAAGTGATGATGTCATTGGGTCTGCGTGCCCCAGACGTGTCCGTTTGTAATTTGTTTTATTTTTTCTTAATAAAAGGGGAGAGCCATCTCTTACAAAAAAAAACTTTTTTTTCTTCTTTTTTCTTGACACCTGTAAATTCTAAATGTTTATGATTCAATTTTGATTCTTAGTTTTATCACGAACTTATACTTCACAAATTGGTGAACTAGAATCTCCTTCACACCCTTTTTATTATTTTTAATGATTTTTTAAATAATTTAAGTGATTCTAAAAACTTTCTAAACCTATATCATGGATCTCAATAAAATCATGTTAGAATTCGAACTCCAGTGGCTAATGCTACTCGAATCCAAGTGACGAAAACTTTCCTCTCTTTTACCACTGGATCAAGGCGACTTAGTTGATTTTGAATTTTAGCTTTATGAGTTTCTTTAAAAACATATTCAAAACTAATTGACTCCTATATGGCTATATATAACCTTCTCATGCATGTGACCGAAGCATCGAGCACGTATTTGATGTTCGAACTCGAGAATTGTTTGACTCTCCTCTATTTGATCTGCACACTTAGAACACATAAACCTAAACTATGAGTGAACATGAATACAATATTCATATAAAAAAGAAACATAAATACAATTGAAAAAAAAACTAGAACACAACCAAAAAAAACAATATTACAATTAATTTAGGAAAAATCCCATTAAAAATCCTCCAATTAAATCATATCCTAATTTAAACTTCTAATTGTTTAGGTTCCCCATATAAAACATCTAACTAATTAATCTCTCCAATTTAAATTAGTTGTCGTTTAAGGTATTTTCATGCATATTAAGATAACATTCAATTTTTATGTTTTATCCCTAATTAATGTATTCTTTTATTTGATATCGTCAATAAATAAGCTTAAAAAATATGAGTAAAATTTAAAATCTGTCAAACATCTTCATTGAAAACAGAAACAACAACTAATTTAAAACAAAACTTAACTTTTAAAACGACAACTAATTTAAAACGGAAGGAATATTATTTTTCAATTAAACCCTCAAACATTTATTGTTATCATATAAAACTTTTAACGAATGTACTCTACCTAAACAAATCTTTTTTTTTTTTAACACCTTCCTAAACAAATCTTTAAATAGTCAAATTTGAGTTCGAGCAATGGTTGATGGTCAACGACAATTCATATATCATCTATTTCGAATAAGAGCCGGCATGTGATCCATCCCAAAAAAATCAATGCTTTTTTTAACCGGAGAAATCCCGAATGAAACTCATACTAATGTCTAGATGTTTTTGCTATTGAAGACGTCTACGGGTGAACAAGGTTTGAAGAGCCAAAACTTTGTTGGGACACATTAAATAAATCGATCCTTGTTCTAAATCCACATAAAAAATTTACACCTTAAGCGAGAGCTATTAGTCCATCATAGCTTTAGAATCAAAGCTTTTTCTAAAAACTAAGGATTCTAGGAAGCGCAATTGTGGAAGAATTATCGAGGAATGACTTAAGCAATGACCACATTCCAAATTTCCCAGAAATGATGATAACTTGATACATTTCATATTCTATTACTATTTAATCAACATTCGCCAAGAAATGACTAAGCAATGACCACGTCCAATACTTGCCATCTAAGTAGTGGCGAAAATTAGAAACATTTTATGTTATTATTCATATACCACCGTTGTCCACAAGAAATTAATAACTTTTTATAAAAAAAAAATTAAAGATCAGTTTTATCATATATTTCAAGGGGAAAAAAAGCCAACAAAGTGAAAATCACAAAAGCAAAAGCAAGCAAATTGCCGTCAAAAAAAAAAAAAAGCAAAAGCAAGCAAATAAAAATAACCACAAGTTGATATTTAGTCAGTCCTGTATTTAATGATAGTTTTCGAAACAAATCAAGGAAAATAGCTTCGAGATAATATTAACAAAAAAAAAAAAAAAAAAATTAATATCTATACATGAAAACAACAACGTAACGCAACCTGTTGTGGTTCCAATATAGAATCCATCCTTACGTGTTACACTGCTGGCTTGGTCAACCTTTTACCGCCTATTTAAGAGCCATTCAACTCGTTAAAGTGAAATACAAAAACAAAAAAAAACCAAATCCCCTATCCCTAATTCGAATTCACCTACAATGTCGTTAGCAGGCAGTTCTGGCACTGGCTACAGTGGTTCTGCATTTGCTCCCTCTTCCGTTGGTCGGATCTTCCCTGCAGTTCCTTCTAGAGGTTCTAATCTCCCATCCCAGAACTATGATGTTCATGCTGGATCAAACCAGGCAGGTAAGGCATTTAAGAAAACTCCATCCCTTTCATCAGGAGGCTCCTCGGGCACGGGACATTCTCGGGCTAGTTATAATGGTTTTTCCGGGAGAACTTCTGCCCGTTCTGGGGTATCAGGAAGTCACTCAAGGAGGTCGCCAAGTGTTGAAGAGACCTTCCCCAGCAATTCGTCAGTTGCGTCATCAAGCAGGGATAGCCCGAACCAGGTCAACGACCCTTGGCCTTTTAACAATGATCAGTACCCTTTTGGGTGGTGAAGACACTGAAGAATATTTATAGCTCTATCCTTATATATACGCTGCTTTGATTTGTATTTCAATAAAATTGCAGTATAGATGTAATTGGATATACTATCACGACATGCTTCAACTATGAGCTCTATATATGTATCAAACATTTACAGTCCCACCTATTTTGTTGGGGAACTTCTTGTATCATCCGTATACCATTTAAATAAAGCTAGATGTTTTAAAAAAAAAAGGATGTAATTGGATATATAATTATCATAATTGGCCTTTTTAATTTGTATTTAATATAACAACTAGATCCTGACCCGCACATACGTGCGGGATTTCATATTTTAAGAAATGTGTTGTAATAATTTTCTATTAAATATATGATTATTTTGTTGTTTTAGTGATATATATTGTATTGAATATATTATAATGTACACAGAAAAGTATAAAATGTTATTTATGTTTGCTTATGACACAATAGCAACCATAAGTCATTTTTTGGAGTTTGAAACTGAAGAGTAGATTAGAAAAAAATCTTAGATTGAAATATAATATAAGTTAGATTGATGTAAAAAAAATATTATATAGTTATAGTATCTATAACCTAAACTCATATCAGTTGGTTGAAATATTTGAAATAATAATGATTTTAATAGTATTTTAAAATTCGTAACAACCAAACGGTCGAACCAAGATCAAACTGAATCGAATTAATAGTCAGGTAGATTTTTATTAAACTTGTGAACATTAAACTTGTAAACTATCAAACCGTATATAAAACCGTTAAAATGATTAAATACGTTTGCGAGAAATAGAAATATTTAGAGATAGGCGTAATTCCCATTCAATTTTATCATGTTCCATTATATCTTACCCGTTCTCCAATTTATATCTCATAAGAGAATGCATTTCTAATATAAGACAAATTTTGTATTCCCGATTAGAAACAGGACGTGACGGAAACAAAAATTCTCGATATCTTGTTTGGGACAAACACAAATATAATTCATAGTATATTTTTATATGATGATATAATAAAAATATTACAAAATTAATTGACTTCTTTATTCTTATTTTTTTATATTTTGTTCATAAATATTAAATTACATTTGTTTGTTTTTTAAATTTTAACTAATATAGAACATACTATAATAACATTTATTATTTTGAACATTTTTATGCTATATATATTGAAAACAAATGTTACATATTTGATTGCAAACGTTAATTTGTTTGAATTGTAACTTGTTCTAATCTAAAATCTATGTTTTTATCCCGTCCTGTCTTCTTCCATGTCGTTCCTGTTTCGTAATTCCTATTCTCGTCATATTACATTAAATACCATTTTTTGAGTTCATTTTGCTTATCTTTAAACACCATACAATATACGGTTGTAAGTTTTGGGGATTAACATATGTTCTGTTAAAATTTGTAAACATACCGTAAATTAAAACATGAAAACAAATTGAAAAAATAAATAATCTATCAACTAATCTTAACAAAATCATAAACCTAAGAGATAGTTTAAAGTGAATAAATTTAGAGAATCATTTTGAATTAATTGTAAAAACTGTGTAAATTAAAAAGTAGCTTGTAAGTAGTTAAATTAGTCATCTTGATTTGAATTCAATAGTTCCTTAAATTTAATATTTCTCATTTTGAAATATTTGCATTAAAAATTAAAACATTTGTATTTAAATTTATTTTAATGTTATTTGAAAAAGAAAATAATCAATTCTAGAAAAATGTGTATTCCAAAATCTTGTAACAATTTGATACAAAATAAAATTACGGTTTGACATATTATTTCTATTCTTAATTTAGTTTAGTTGCTAATAATTTAACGTTTACATCTATACTATTAATTGTTTACATATTACGATTTGACAAAAACAAAATATTGGATGGAATGTATGTCGCATATTTTTTTTGCTATGTACTTAATTTTTTATATTTGGTAAATGGGAAAATATCGGAATATATTTATAACATAAATATTATTACTTAGATTTTATTGTTAAAATATTTTGTATTTTTCAATTAATGACATTCGATTTATGTTGATTTTTTTTGTTTTATCTCTAACAAATTGAAAAATACAAAATATTTCGATTTATATTCGAAATAAATATATTAATGCTGAATATTCAGTTATTATTTAATATTTAATGTTGTTTCCTTTTTGTTTTTGTAGACAAATCATACCAAAAATATTGACGAAGCAAAACTTGGAATATATTGGATCACTTAATCTCGTTATTTGTTTTTGCAAAAAATTAATGAAGGATCCGTATCAAATATATTTATTTAGTTGAAGTAGTTGATTATTTACTAAATTACCCATGTAAAAATTCATTTAGTTAGTCTTAAACTACCCTCACAATGTTGTAGTTCACAAAATGCTTCCCAATTAATAGTATAGATTAAAAAATCTACATTTTTAAAAAGTAGAATTGCGAGATTATATCGATTGATATTAATAGTAACTAGATTTTAACCCGCGGTACACCGCAGGATGATTTATTTTTAAAGTTAGTGTAAAAATATTTTGTAAATTGTATCTCTTTATAAAATATTTATTTATATTATAGTTTACAATTTTTATTAAGTAACGGTATACCACGAGTCCACGAGACAATTGTTAATAAACTGAGGATTTTACCCGTATTAAAGCGGCATGTTAATGATATTTATAAATATTGATTCAAATTCGTCTGCCATATAAACTCGTTCCGAAATATAACCCGTTCTGTAATTTCTTAACCCGTCCCGTGATTTATTTTTATTTTAAAATTTAATGATTATTTAGTATATATAAAAGTTTACAAATCATATCATTCTCTAAGATATTTATATTTTAATAAACTGAGGTTTTAATCTGTATTAAAGCGGCATGTTAATGTTATTTTAAAATTTTATAAATATTGATTCAAACTCATCCACCATATAACCTCGTTCCGAAATATTTAGGAAATATGAATCTAATATTGTTTGTTTTTTTAAATTTTGTATTAATTCTTGGTAGAATTCAATTCTAATACTTTTACTATATCTTAAAAAATTTGTGTTATTTTCAAAACTTAATAATTTCTTTTCTACTTGTAATTGTTTTAGAAAGATATCTTATAATATAAAGTATGCTTTTTAAAGTTAATAAATCATAAGATTGTGCCACGTGCCCACGTGTCAAGTTTATCGATCTTAAATTTTGACACGTGTTAAACAAAAATTTCTTTGTATTTATTTAAAATAATATAAGAAAACTATAGGCATATGTCAAATTTATCAACATGTAAAACCAAAAAATATTTGTTTAGAAAAAAATTTATAAGAAAACTATACGTATATATTTAATATAAAACAGTTCTAAAAATCTAAAAAAGATAAATATAAGGAAACTAGATGTATCTTATGAAATAAAAATAGAAATTTAAGAAAACAATTATAAGGTAACTATACATATATATCTTATAAAAAACAATTTTTAAAAAGTAAAGAAGATAATTTTAAGGAAACTATATGTATCTTATTAAATAAAAATAGAAATTAAAAAAAATATTTACTAATTCTAATTTAAAGCTACTAATTCTAAAAGAAAAAGATTATTTTTTCTTAAAATTAAAAAATATTTATGAAATTATACAATCTTACTGTATAATATGATAATTAAAGAAATTTTATAATCAATTATTAATCCTAAAAGAAAAAGAATTCTAAATACTCACCTCTATAGATAAACAAATAGATAGATAGACAAATTAAGAATATATGGCGGTGGAGGCAAATTAAGAATTATGAACGACGATGGATTTAAAATAGAGTTGTTATCGAAAAAGTTCGACCCGATGTCGAAGGAGATAAAGAAGGAGGAGAAATAAGAGCAGTTGGGGAAAGAGGGGAAGATGCGGTAACGGTGGTGTTGGTGTTGATGACGGTGGTTCAAGCTTGGTGGTGGTAGTGGTAAATATTGATGAAGGTGATGGGTCGGAATTAGCGAGATTTAGTATTGATGGTGATGATGATTATGATAGTTGTGAGATTCAGTTGTGGTGGTGGCCTGGTGGATCAGAGTAGTGAGACTCGGTGGTGATGCACGACGAATAAGAGAAATAGTGATATGGAAAAAGAAAAAAAATATGGTGGTGAAGAAATTCAACGAGAGGGAAAGAAAGAAAAAGAAAGGGAGATCGAGCAAAAATAAGAAAAATCTAATGAGAGAAAAAAAAAAATTTGAGACTTCTAGCCGGCGAGAGGAAAGAAAAAAGAGACAACGAATAACTCATGAGTAATATGGGCCAAAAATTGACAAAAACCATATAGCAAATAGAAATTGTTTAGGTAATACTATTTTCTTAATTTTGTTTTTAGTCTTAAGTTATTTAGTGCATATTTCCTTAATTCCTTATGAATTTGTCTTTTTGTTTTGAGGATTTCTCATATTATCAAGTAAAGTTACATGATGTAGATATAGACTGTCTCATATTGTCACAATTTATTTTCCATCTTGCCCACATTGAAATTAGAATGTGTTATATATTCTTCTGATGGATGTAGATAATTTATTAAAATTCAATAATACACATATGAACATTTATTAAATACCATACTGTAACATATAATAAAAAAACTACAAATAGTATTTTATATTGCATATTATGCATAATTAATCTATATTTAAAATTAAATTAAATACTATATTTTCTAAAATTAAAACATATTTTTATATAATTCTAGTTAAGCTAACAAAAAAAAATTTGAAATGATAATTTCGACCGATAACCCGTGCAACGTACGGGTCCATATGTAGTTGATTATAAAGAAAAAAATGCTTTTGAGATATAATGTTTTTTAGAATTCATTAAATTAGTAAAATCTCTCTATAAATTAATAATTATTAATTTATCGATAAATTAATATTTTTAAATATTAATAGAATTTTCGGTCCTGATATTATTAATTTAGAGAAAGTTTTTTACAGATGTTTTATTGTATAACGCATTCTCATGGCACGAAACTGCAAATGGCCCATAAGTAGGATGCTTGTTCTCGAAAGTCATCAAATTTATATTATTTGTGCTTAGGGGTGTCAAAATGGTTAACCCAACTCAACTCAACTCATTACCCAATAAGTTTAGAGTTAAATGAGTTGATGGGTTGACCCAACTCATTTAGTTTAGAGTAAAATGAGTTGAGTCAACCCATCAACTCATTTAATTTGATGGGTTAGAAGGTTAAATGGGTTGACTCATTAACCTATTAATATAATAAATAAATTAATAATTAAAATATAATAATAATAATAATAATAATAATAATAATAATAATAATAATAATAATGTTTATCATGCCACTAAAGTAATTCAAATTTGACTTTTGAGAACAAGAATCCTCTTATCATTTGTAATTTATTATTTATATTTTTTTTGTTTGTTGAAATTTGTTGGATTTGTTATCTTTTTAAAAAGTTGTATTAGAGATAACATAAAAATTGCCCAAATTTCTTAAATTTTTTAACTAATTCCAAATAGATTCGCAATAACCATTTGCTTATACTTAATAACATTCATCGGGAGATGAGTCAGCAATGACAAAAGTTTGATATATTCAACAACTTATATGTTAATGTATTTACCACCGTTTTCAGTTGTCACCATGATAACAGATATTTGGATTTTTAAGGAAAAATCCATTTCATCATGTATTTAACGAAAAAGCTAACAACAAAAAATATATAAATAATTACCCATAATCAAATCATAAGCTACCCACTAAACTAAGCGTTTTATAGAAAAAAAACTACAGGTGTGATTGCTTACCAAAATAGAATAAATTGGAAGAAAAAATAGAAAAATTGAAAAGTCACTTCAAGAAGAAAAAAGTATTCTACTTGTTTTGAAGGTGGAAATTTTTTTCTAATTTAGTTACATTTTTTACATTTTGAGAAAAAAAAACTTATTCCAACTTTTTCTTGGCTGGTTAATATGCAGAAGAATTTGTTTTCTTTCTTTTTCTTTTCTTCTATTATAGTAAACTAGTCACACCTTAAGTGCTAGTTATATATTCTGTATAAGTTGTTAAAACTAACCAAGGTATTAATCTTTAAGAACTATCAAATAATTTTTTTTTGATGAATTATTTTCACGTTTTTCTTGTATGTTGCAAAAGTAAAAAGTTAAATTTAATTTTATAACTAGATGTATTGTATGTTGCAAACATAAAACTTAAGGGATTGTATAAATATGCAATAGCTTTAGGTGCTCAATTTATCCCAAATATTAACAACGTTTATTCGTTTGCTTCTGTTTTAGTTTTGATTAAAAAAAAAAAAATTCTTTATTGAAAAGCTTAGAAAACCAATTCGAAGAACATTGTTTACATATATGATATGATGTGGGAAGAGAATGATATTTCATGCTAACAAGTATGCTTTAACTTTAACCTTACGAGAAACTAAAGAGAAAGAAAAATACGAGAAAACTTTCTTACTCTTTACTATTTTTTTTTCCAAATATATCTCAAAAGTCGGCCATTATGATGGCGTATTGGCGTGTAATATTAGTCTTCTTTTCTCCAATCAAGCTTCTCATCGTCCACACTAATGCTTCCACTTAGAGAATGAATTGGGAAAAGACTCCGACAGAAGTTACAGGCACCCATAAGTGGTGCCTTTTATTAACTTTCGAATGATACCATCCTAAACCTGAAAAAGGTTAATGTTCTTCTATCAATAAAACATCGATATCTTCGGTTTCGGTAATTTGTTTATAGGCATTAATTGCATAACTTATTGTTGACCTTTAACTAGACCATTATGCAAGGTTGGTTCAGGCGTTACTGCTAAGTTTTGGCACGACAACTGGACGATGATAAATATAAAAGTTAACATTAACCGTCGTCATACATGTCAATGAATCTCATAGACGTTTACTTATCTTTAACATCGTCAGATGCACCAAATGCCTTTTCCCTAATCCAATGACTTTTCGTTTCTTCTGCATTAACCTTCTTATGACTATACAAAGAATCAAGTTAGAAAGTCATTTTGCGATTACCAATCAGAACCATTGTTAGAGTAAGACATTAGTTGGGAGATACGCCTTGAATTGGTGATGAGAATCACTTGCTAATGTAAGCAACATGGCTAAGCAAACTTTATTGTTTATGTGATCATAATTCTAGTTTGACATTGTTTCTCCCAAAACGAAATCGTTTTGTTAAAAAAAAAAAAAAGAGTTTAGAGCTTAGGTGTTGCAAAGACTCTAGCCTCTAAACCAAGAATCCCACAAAGCTCCGGATACAAACTCTTCCTAATCGACGCATAAACCTCACCACTCCATTTCTTCGCCGCCAATTTCTCACCAAGGCGCACACTAGCCTCAACAACACCTTCCTCACTATCATACGCCGCCGAGTCAACAATCCCCAAACCCACCGCTTCTTCTCCTCTAATCTTCTTCCCACTCAACAACAGCTCTCTCCTCGCCGCACTCGTCCCGATCTTAGCCCTAACCAACGCCGAGAAATAATCCGGCATCGAAAGCCCGATGTCAACCTCGCTCATGTACAGAACCCCACGATCTTTCCTCATGAACACGTAATCATGGCTTAAAGCCAGCATCAGTCCCGCGGCGGCTGCATGGCCGTTCAAGGCGGCGATCGTCGGCATAGGGAGATCTAAAAGCGCTGCTACCACCGGTTTGAAGGATTCAACCATTTGATGAAGCCGGTTTGCAGCTCCGGTTATGGATCCGGCGGTTTGAGCCCATGCGAGATCGAAGCCGTTGGAGAAGAATTTGCCGTTAGCGGTTGTGATGAGGATGGATCCACGGGTGGATTGAGATTTGGCTTGTTCGAGGAGGGAGAGGATGGTGGCGATTGTGTCGGGGTGGAATCTGTGTTCGCCGTCGCCGGTTAGAGTCAGGAGGAAGAGATCGCCGCGTTTCTCTAACGTACACATGGTGGTGATCGGAGGAAGAAGATTTTGGATGATAATGAAATTGAAATGTGTGAGAAATTGTGCAGATATAGAGAGAGAGAGACACCTTATCAGGATTGGTCTATGTTTCCATTTTTGGTTCTATTTGTTGTGATCGAATCTATTTGTGAAGGCCCATGGGCCGCCGTGTACGAAATTCTCCTTTTTTGGTCATTTTATTTGGATTTAATTCCAAACATAGTTTAGACCTTGAATGGTAATATTAACATTATTTTTTCTTACCAAAAAAAAATGATTTTTAGTTTTTTTTCTTATATTTAATTTTCTAATCAATATTATGAAAAGAAATAGTATCTCTAAAAAATAGAGAATTTTAGCAAATTTCTAAACAAAATTCAAAAATCTTTTTTAAAGTTTTGGAGAGTATCGCGGGTCTTATTTAACTTCCATATTTTCCATAGCTTACGTGCGGTTTTTACCACCACTCATCTTTATAGTGTTTTTGTTGTTTACCACCACTCATCTTTATAGTCTTTTTCCTCGTCGGTCTTGGATGTCCCACTAGTCGCATCTCATTGGAATTAAGTAAAGACGGAAGAGCAAAACATAGACCAAGTCTAAAAAGAAAATATGTGTTTGTTGCTAGGTTTCTCCATTTTCCTTATTGTGCATTTTTCTTGTAGTGTTCTTGTGTAACACTTATTCTCTCTCTATAAATTGTTGTCTTTTGGATTAATTTTCCACACCATATAAGGTTTCTCGTGGGTTGTCTATTACTGTAATTCGGTCGAGTTTGGTTGATCAGACTGTACCCGTTTCTTATCTTATGGCGATAAATGCGATTATGATCATTTGACATAATTATTTGAATATTAGATATATGTTTCATCAATGAATCAAACGGAAATAGATGCATATATGATGTGATATATTGCTAATGTGAGTACGATTATGAAGTATGAATGCATATTTTACCTAATAACTTACCGATAGTTATATTGATGTTTATCAATAATATTGTTAAAATTTTAACTAAATGAAAAAAAAAAAACGTAGGTTACATTAACTATGTTTTTTTATTGGTGAGAAACAGATAGTAAAATGGACGTTGACTTTTGTCGGCAATATTCATATTTCAAACATTTTTCTCCAAACAAGACAATGAGAGTTTCTAGAGATTGTGAGTTGCCAAGTTATTGACCGTTAACTCCAGCATCCGACAAAGCTCCGGATACAAACTTCTCCTAATGGATGCATAAACCTCACCATTCCATTTCTTAGCGGCCAAACTTTCCCCAAGGCTCACTGTAGCTTCCACCACACCTTCCGCGCTATCATGCGCCGCGGAGTCCACAATCCCGAGAGCCACCGCGTCTTCTCCTTTGAGCTTCTTCCCGCTCAGCAACAGCTCCCTTCTCGCGATACCTGACCCGACCTTAGCCACAACCAACGCCGAGAAGTAGTCTGGCACCGGCAGCCCGATGTCCACCTCGCTCATGTAAAGAACCCCACGGTCTTTCCTCATGAAAACGTAGTCGTGGCTCAGCGCAAACATTAGCCCCGAGGCGGCTGCGTGGCCGTTCAAGGCGGCGATCGTCGGCATTGGAAGATCGAGGAGGGCGGCTAACACCGGTTTGAAGGATTTGACCATTTGGTGCATCCGTTCTATGGCACCGTGTCCAGCGGATTGGGCCCATGCGAGATCAAAGCCATTGGAGAAGAACTTTCCGTGACCGGTAGTGATGAGGACGGATCCTTTTGTAGATTGAGATTTAGCTTGTTCAAGAAGTGAGAGAACGGAGGTGATCGTGTCCGGGTGGAATCTGTGCTCGTCGTCACCGGTTAGGGTTAGGTGAAAGAGATCGCCACGCTTCTCTAACGTACACATGGTGCTTAGGTTAAGGATTTACTGATTTAGGATGGTACAAGAATAAGAAAAGAGTTAGTAGTAGAAAACTGAGATATAGAAGTGAGTGAAGTTGAATAATTAATGCAAGGGAACAAAAGAGATCCAACTGTATATTTATTAGACGTGTTTTGCCACCGAAGTCTTTAAATTGGGTAATCTTCCCAACCATTTGGGTGTCACAATGTTATTAAATGCAGACGAGACTATGTGTAATTTTCTTGCTCAAAAAGATACTGGAATTGTTTGTTTTCTTGTACATGATTACCATTTTCTCCTTTGGCAACTATGAGTTAGAACTTTTGTATTGGCAGAATCATTTTTTATTTTCTTTTCTCCACTTGATTGATAGGTGATTTAACAATATATCAGTGGTTAAACACTTAAAACATTCGTATGATTTTATCTAAATAACTATTTTGATATGAACACTCTTTTTGGAATAGCTTCTTATTTAGTTTCAAGCATGATTACTGGCATGATTTGATTGAGATTTTGTGTTTTAGCATTACTTCATGGACACATCACACATTCGATAAGAAAACAACATCATTGGTTAAATTAGTTCACTAACTCTTTAAGTTGTGCAAACAACATTAGTTAGATTAGTCCACCAACTCTTTCATTAGATAAAAAAAAAAAAAGAGATAAGTCGCAAAATAGTCACGTTTTTTAACATAAAAAAAATCAGTGTCTTTAGATCCATCATATGACCGGCCAGTCGAACCGACCAAACCGTACCCTCTAATAATCGAGTATGGAATATATATATATAACCAGAGAATTTTCTCTCCATCTCTCCATACAGGATGTCCACATCAACATTCATGTCATCATAATTTTTTTTTATGGCCTCCACATATTTTATTTATTAAAACAAAAAACATTAAAACTAAAACTAATTCACACATTAAATAATAACAATAATTGACAAAACATTTAATGAAATATTATGAAAAAATAAATATACTACTTAAAATATGAAAATTTTGAATAGAGATTGGATAAATATAAATTAGATAATTATATTTTAACATATAATGAGTAGATATTTTAAAATAGTCAGAGATACCAAAAAAGAAACTTATCATATATTTTAATGGTACAAAATTTATTTTTAAGAGTTACAATTATTTAGTAGAGTAAAAAAATAAGAGGTAAAAAATACCAAATTTAAAGGTTTTTACTTAAAATAGAAAGCAATTCATTTCTAAAAAATAGACATTTAAAATTTGAGTACCGATTAAAAAATAATAAGGAGAACATATTATTATTTATAATTATAATAATATAAAGAGAAATTGTTAAAAATGCCCATTTTTCAATACCCCTTTTCAAAAATGCCCCTTTTGAGAGTCTATTTTTAAGTTTGCCCTCTTTTAATTTTTAATGACCATTTTACTCTTATTTGAAACAAAATTAGATCCACAAAATACAAAATATTTTTTGGCGGAAAAAGTGATCCCGCAATTTTCCCGCTAAAACAGTTGTAAAAACCTTTAAAATACCTTGTAAAATTTTCCCGTAAAAGTTTTTCCCGCCAAAAATTTTTTTTGCGGGAAAAGTGATTCCGCAATTTTTTTGGCGGGAAAAATTTACAAGGTATTTTAAAGGTTTTACAGAGTATTTACAAGTGTTTTGTAAGGTTTTACAATGTATTTTAAAAGGTTTTACAAGGTACTTGTAAGGTTTTATAAGGTATTTATAACTTGTAAAACCTTATAAAAAACTTGTAAAACCTTATAACTTGTAAAACCTTATAAAATAGCTTGTAAAATCTTATAATCTCTTATAAATATCATATAAATACGTTGTAAAACCTTTTAAAATACATTGTAAAACCTTATAAATACCCTGTAAAAAACCTTTAAAATACCTTGTAAATTTTTCTCGCCAAAACTTTAATGCCAAAAAAATTGCGGAATCACTTTTCCCGCAAAAAAAATTTTTGGCGGGAAAAATTTTTACGGCAAAATTTTACAAGGTATTTTAAAGGTTTTACAAGTTTTTACAAAATCAAATTTGTAATTTTGATGTGTGCACATTCTCATGTTTTTCTTATATATTTGTGATATCTTTTATTAAAAGAAGGGTAATTTAGTCATTTTGTACATAAAATGGGGTATTTTAAAAAATGGACAGCCAAAGAGGGCATTTTTGAAAAGGGGTATTGAAAAAGAGGCATTTTTGTGAGTCTCCCTAATATAAATAGTTAAATTAATAAATTTTCTATATTATTAATGTTTTCTAAATTAAAAAGTGGTGCTTTGTTTTTTAAAAAATGAATATTTAAAAAATAAAAACTAAATATTAATCATTATTTAGGAAATTAACATAGATTGAAAAAAACTAAGGTGATTTGATATAAAACAAAAAAAACTATCCTAAACATCACAAACAAAAATAAAATAATATTATCGAATAATAAAATAATATTTGAGAATGCTATTTGGAAATTAGAATAATAATGGTAGACTGAAGAGTTTTTTTTATTAGAAATAAGAAGGATTTTGTTTTTTTAAATAAATGTAATTTAAAATTAGAATAATTTTTATGAGTTCGTAAGTGTCACATTTTAGAAAAATCAACATTAAGAATACTATCTAGATTCATAATATACGTTAAATTATATTTGTAGAAAGAGATTTTTGTATTTTTCAAATAGTCAAGATAAAGTGCAAAATTTCACGTTGAAATCCTATGTTTGTAAATAGGAATGAGTCTATATATGAGATTTGTTGTCTATAAAGCAATTTTAGATGCACCAAAACATGGTAAAAAAAAACCTTATGATAAACATCTCATCAAATTTCTGTTTGTTCACTTTAATAAAAAGATAACTTATAAAAAAAATTGAGTACTGAATGATATGAAGGAAAAAATAGAAACGATCTAAGAAGAAAAGAGAGTAGATGTCAGGAGACGACGAGTGAATCATAGAAGATCACGAGAAAAATTATAGTAAAAAATGTGAGAAACTTTTTACTACTTTGGAAAGATAATGCACATGAGTAAAGTAAAATCTTCTAAAATTCAATTGATTATATTTATATTTAAATAATAAAAGTTTAAAATTAAATTCCACGCAACGCGCGGGTACACAATCTAGTGCTATAAAACCAGACTTATATGTACCAACCATCTATGCTATCTACACTAGTATTTTTGAAGTACATTTTTAACGTTCCACATCGACTAAAATATTTAGACAATGATTTAGAATCATATCATAAATAAGATCAACATTAATAAAACAAATGAGTTTTTTGGCGGGGCGGGTTTGGCGGGACAGGTTTTTGAATCAAGGATAATAAAAAAATTAAAATATCATTAATCCGCCGCTTCAATACGGATTAAATTCTTTTTTTTTTTTTAATACCCCCAATATTAGAGATATCAAATCAGTCTCATTTAGATAAGATTGTATAAAACCAAAAATTGTCTCGTGGGATAATGTTACTTAATAACAATTGTAAACTATAAAATATAAATGTCTTAGAGAATGATACAATTTGCACTTTTATATATAATAAATAATCGTTAAATTTTTAAAATTACTATTTTTAGAAAACAAATCACGGGACGGTTTGAGAAATTACAGGACGGGTTATATTTTGGAAAGGGGTTATATGGTGGACGAGTTTGAATTAATATTTATAAAATTTTAATATATCATTAACATGCAAATTTAATACAGATTAAATCCTTAGTTTATTAAAATATAAATATCTTAGAGAATGATACAATTTGTAAACTTTTATATATAATAAATAATCATTAAATTTTAAAATCACTATTTTTAGAAAACAAATTACGGAACGGGTTAAAAAATTACGGGAAGGGTTATATTTCGGAACGGGTTTATATGGCGGACGGGTTTGAATCAATATTTATAAAATTTTAAAATATCATTAACATGCCGCTTTAATACGGGTTAAATCCTCAATTTATTAAAAATTATCCCGTGGACTCGTGGTATACCGTTACTTAATAATAATTGTAAACTATAAAATATAAATATTTTATAAAGAAATACAATTTACAAAATTTTATATATACTAACTTTAAAAAATAAATCATCATGCGGTGTACCGCGGGTTAAAATCTAGTTATTTTATAAGATCCTATATTTCAAATACATATACAGTAGAACCTCTATAAATTAATACTCGATAAATTAATAAACACGATAAATTAATAAATTTGGTCGGTCCCGAGTCGGGCCAATGTAAAAATTAACCAAATTCGATAAGATAATAAGATAATAAGTTTTTTGAAATCTCTATGTAAAAATATAGTCCCAATAATATCATAAATTAATAATCATGTAAATTTGCACATACACATATATATATATATATATATATATATATATATATATATATATATATATATATATATATATATATGTATACATAATAGTTTTAGTGTTTTTCATAAAAAATAGTCAAAAGCTTTTGTAAGTTTTTAAATTCTGAATATGCATAATTTTTGTTTTAATAGTCGCATAGGTTTTTAAAATACAACAATGGATTTCACTATTTGTGAATTTTAATTTATGTATATCGTTTGTATATATGAATTCTATGATTGTTGTTATTCATTGTCAAAATAAATTATTTTTTCTTCCAAATATAAAATGTTTAAGGCTAAAACTATAAAATTTATAACATCCAAAACATTAATTTTATTTAGATCACATTGCTTTAGCTTGTATTTTTTAAAAAAAAAATTCACAATTGAAACAAAACTTTCTATAAATTAATAAATATTAATTTACGCTATAAATTAATAATTATTAATTTATAGATAAATTAATATCACTACAAATTAATAAAATATCATGGTCCCAACATTATTAAATCTCTATTTATTATGTATAAAAAATTAAACTCATCTAGTTTTTATATAACTTGACATAGTTCAAATAAATGTTTGTTTTGAAAAAGTTCAAAAAGAACTTTAACATAAAAACAAGCAGGGAAAATTCAAAAGGAATTGGTCAAAGAATATTGCCAAAAAAAAAATGTAAAGAAACGGAAAAAAGGGAAGACAAAACAGCTAATTTCTTTCTTCAACTCTGACCATATCCAAGCGTGTACCTAGTCAACATGTTACTAGTCGTGTCCCTCACCTTATATATATCATCTTCATAAATATCAGACATCACACACCAACATCAACAAATTATTGTGTTCTCATATACAAAAAAGTACTCAATTATCCTACAAGTTCACAAATCTATCTCCATGGCGTCCACGATGCAAACAATAAGCAGCTCAGCCGCCAGAAACGAGATGCAACGTTGCCAGCTACAGAGACGAGCTCCGTCTTTAATTATCAAACCTACGTCGTCGTTTAGTAACTGGAACGTGGCGATTCCTCTCCTTTCGCCGCTAGCTCTTTCCCCAACATCGTCCTTCAACGAATCCCATGTCGCTCCATCGCAGAACAAGACTGAGAAACCGGTGGAAGAGGTGATGAAGAAGACACCAGTTTTCAAGAAATGGCAACATCCGGCGTCCCCGTTCTGCTACGAACAGACGACGTTTGTCCCACCGTTCATGAAACTTTAGTAGATTTCATGACCCAGCGGCCAGCATCGTGTGAAAGTTTGTTCGTGTGACAACAAACGTTTAACTATTTTCACCTTTTGTAAATTTAACTAACTGTGAGTTTGGTCCTCTAAAATAATACAATATTCACTAGCAAAGTATCATACAAGAAGAGCCGTCCCGGAATTTTACGAGGCTACAAGCGAGAAAAAAAAAAAACCACATAATTTTTATTTATTTAATGATTTTTTTTATTAAAATAAATGTTTAAACTAAACACTCAAGACTCCAACTCGTGAACTGTTAACTTCCTCACCTAGTTTTAACCACTAGACCACAAAATATTTTCCATAAAATCGGCCGAAATTTAATGATATTATTTAACGGCCGCAAGCATGTGCTTTGTTTGCTTGGCCTTGTGACTTGTATGATACAAATATAAATATTCCATCTTGCTTAATACATGAATTGGTAAAAACTAAAAACTAAATTCATAAAACACATGTAATAGAAAAACATCGAGAAAAAAGTTGCATGAATTTTCTTCAAATAAATTCCTAAATTAACCCATCATACACCTAGTGTAGGGTTGGACTTTTCTTTAAAGTACATTTTTTCAAAGTGTTCAATTTTACCAAGTCAAACAACTAGAATCTTGCGCCATCACCATAGACTATGTGACTATCTTTAAGACAAATGGGCCGAGACAAAGCCCAATAAGCTCTCACTAGTCACTTCTTCTCTTCTTCTAGGGACTTGTAACAGTAAGAACTTTCGTACGTTTCTCGCAATCAAAACACGAAAACCTACGCTTCTAGAACTGAATCAAAATCGAGAATTTCTTCACAATGCTCTAAGTTCCTCTGTAATGGTGAGTCCTTGGTAAGAGAGTAGAAGCGAAGACGAATCAAATGATGGTCCGAGACATGAACTATCGAAGGTTTGATCTATTTGATCTCTTCCTCTTCATTCCAATCCTTGTTGCTATGTTGATTCATCAATGTTTAACAACGATATTGATCGAATTTGATCCGGATCTCATCACAATCTTCAGATTCATTGTTTCTGACGTTTTAGTTTTTGAATCACCGACACTCGAATTCCTGATTCTGAGTCATTGACCTAACTCAAGAGTTCGAATTACAGTTTTCTAGGTTTTGAATTGAGTGTGTCTATCTAGAATTTGAGAAAATTGGATCTGATTAAGAACGATTTTGATTTTGTTGCAGGGAGAATCGTGCTTCAAGAACGTCTCTATTCGATGGTCTTGATGGACTTGAAGAAGGTCGCTTGAGAGCTTCTTCTTCGTATTCCCATGACGAACGCGACAATGATGAAGCTTTGGAGAATCTTCAGGATAGAGTTTCGTTTCTCAAGAGAGTATGTTTCTTTCATCTCTACAACTAAAAGATTCAAAAGATCATCACAAGCATAAAGATTAGGATTTAGAAATGTTTAACAACACTATGTGAGTCTTGAATCTTGATTGTGAAATGGATTGTGCCACTGAACCTAATTTTTTGAGAAAGAACATTCCTTTAAGCATTGCTGAGTCTAGACCCTAGTTGAATCTTTTGGACTTGACATATCGTGCGATGATTTAATGCTTTCGAAAAGTCTAGTCATAAAGACGATAAACCTAGCTTTTAGGAACTACACATGTATGAAGTTTTATCTAATGATTAATTGTGAATTGTTTGAGGAAGAATTTTCTTGAATTAACTTTTAGATTAAGAACATTCCCTTAAGAATTGCTAAGACTAGACCATGTTATGGACTCAACGAGTATCGAGCCATGATGTAATGCCTTCAAAAATTCTAGTTATAAAGACAATGCCTCTTTTGTTTTCACTCTTGTCAAATCTAGCTTGCAATAACGCTTGCCTGAGATGTAAGTTGGTTACAATATCTTATCAGGTGACTGGAGATATACATGAAGAAGTTGAGAATCATAACCGCTTGCTTGACAAAGTGGTAAGCTGAAGTTTGATTTCATATGTTTCATTTTGTAGATCTCTATCACATGCTTTTCTTCTAAGCTATTTGTTGTCGTATGTCTAGGGGAACAAAATGGACTCCGCAAGGGGGATAATGTCGGGAACGATCAACCGTTTCAAGTTGGTATGTAAATAAGATTTTGTACCTCTTATGCATCACCCCTTTTGTTTTCGCTATCAAAACTTATATCTGGATAAAAATCGATTTTGAATGACAGGTCTTTGAGAAGAAGTCTAATCGAAAAAGTTGCAAACTCATAGGGTATTTTGTACTCCTGTTCTTGATCATGTATTACCTTATTAGGTAAAGTGCACTTCTTCTTATAGCTATCCGAACACTTGACCTTTTTTAGGAACTGGTTCAAAGTCCATGTTCGTCGACTCGAACACTGACGATCTTTCGGGTTTTGCAGGCTATTAAATTACATCAAAGGGTGAACTTGAATACAAGAAGAAAGTGTTACATGAATTCTAGAACAATAACTTCCGTTTTTGGGTTTCTCCTGATGAATGAATGATTCAGACATAGTAAACAAGTCAAGGGACCCATATTGAAAACAAGACAAAGAAAGAGATTGTGAAGAGACTAGTGAACCAATCGAAAGAAAAATGTTTGAAAGAGACATGTTTTGTCCAAAGCAAAATCATCTCATGTCATTTCATGTAATGTAGCAAAAGCTTCTTTATGATTTGTCAACTATTTGATCTTGTGATCATGTTAGCAATTTTGTCTACAAAAAGCTTAATTGATTGATTGATAAGCTTAATTATTAGGTTTTCTGTGAAAAAAAGTTTAGCACTTTGTAATAAAAACAAGATAACTTGGCGTCTGAAACAAATTTTCAAAATTTCCAGGCGCAAATACCGTAGTGTATATTGACATTTGCTAAAAGATCCTAATACGTAACAACATGAGGAAAATAAAAGAGAAATTTTGAACGACTCGTAACATCCATAAGTTGACATGACACACTATGCAGAAGAGTTTGATTTTTCCACTTTAGGTAACAAGTTGACAATAATCGACAAGTTCATTTTTGGTTTGGTATTCGACAAGAAGTTGACATGTACGTTTCCAATGGTTCGGTTTCTAGGTCTAATCATCTTAACAATTATGTAGACTAAAGTCTTGTATATTGAATTAAAGAGTGAATAATAGGTTGCTATGTTAAATAGTAAATTTCTTGAAACTACTGTTTAGATAAATAATAACCATGAGTTTTTTTATATAGCTACTAGAGGATAACATTTGGGTTTTGGCACAAAATATAGAAAAAAATACAAAAAAAGTTTTAATCGCCAGTAATTTTTCAATTTCTTCTATTCTTTTAGTATATGTTAAAATACCATGTTCTTATATATGGATGTGACTTTAAAAAAAAAAAAAAATTATAACACATCAACAGATGTTAGGCTACAGGGTGCTAGATTATAAACAAAAGTGTTTGGATTCACATGAAAAATATCTGTAATTATTTTAAGAAGTTAGATATATAGATCATTCAAAAAATAGTAAGCTACATGGTTATGTAATATACTGTTGGGACTTGGGAGTGATTCATCAACATAATCGTGACATATATACAACGTGCAATCGAAATCGGTTCGAAGAAAGCCACGAAATACTCAGCCTTTTGAAAGACTAGTATACGACATGTCCTACCACCCTTACTCAAAGAAAAAGACTCATGATGCTGCGGGAAATGACTTGCTTTCTTGAATAAACTCTTCATTCGAGCTCTGGTTGCTCTAGCTCACAAATTATCTTCGTAGTTAATTAAATATCTACAAGGAGATGACTTAAAATTAAATGTACACATACATTGGAGCACCCCCACCATGGTTATGCTAAGGATGCTCTCTTAGCAGAAGTGACACCTCTCAGAAGCTATTGGGCCATAACAGAGTTATCACACGGGTCATATCGGCCAAAAGCAGACTGCATCTAGTAGGGCAAGGTATGATTGATAAACACGATCGACAAGGAACTCAAGAACATCAACTCGCATATTGAACCTACATATATGACCGATATATGTGTGTGCGAGGAGTGCTTTTGCACCATGTCCTTGTTCAAACAAACACAAAAAAAAAACTAGTTTATTTAAGGACCCCAAAAAAAATTCATACTTTTTTCTATGTAATTAGGATCCATATTTCAATTTTGAACAAAGACCATTATTATTTTTTGTTATTTTTGAGCCGGTCCTACCTACATATGAATCCAAGCTAAGTTTTTTCATATGTATATGTCTCACGATAAAGTATGTGTATGTGTGTATACATTTTATTCGAAAGTATGTGTTTTGAGTTTATGTCAGAATAACCTAGGAAGTGATTTTCGATATCGGATGAGTGAGGACAAAACATGTGAAAATATCACGTAGTGATTTTTATGGTCGGTAAACAAGTTTTGAAAACCTTCTGAAATAGCAAACCGTCAGTCGGACATGAGTGGATTCCACGGACCGAGAGAAAGCGTGGTGACCCTCTGACGGTGATAGTCAGGATATCACCTCTTTTATGTTCATATACTTGCATACTCACATCCGTCTCCTGAAGAGTACAAACGCCCCCTAAATTAAACTATATTCTTATATATATGCTCTTCCATTAACATCCTTTCTAAGCTAACGAAAACTTCATATTAAGCCTTAGGTTTGTTAGGTCCAAAACTAAATCATCCTCATTGTTTTCCCAATTTCCGGCAACTCACATTAACTCAGTTCTGACTAGAGTGTCAAAGAGTTTTCGAGATGACATACATCTAAAAGGCGGTTAGACAAAGATTAAGTTACTAAACTTGTATATTCAGCCTTGACTACTAAGAAAAACCTTATGGATTTAGAACATGGTTCAAGAATTTTCTATATGGTATCAAGTGTGGTTTAAGGGATGATTAGTTGAGATTGTAACGGTAAATTGTGGTTTTGGTTTTAAAATTTTTGTTTCTAATAAATAGGTTGTGAGTAAAAATTTTTTAAAAAACAAAAAAAAACTAAAGCTATTGATAATTGACTTAATAATTATGTAAAAACTCAAAATATTTAGTGTACAAAGTACTCATTAGATTAGAAGTTTTTTTTTATAATTAGATTAGAAGTTAGATACTTGGATTAATTATTCAAACGTATCAATATCAGTCGTCATATCTTATTATAGAAATAGGGTAAGAGTTGTCGAGAGTGGAGACGTCGGGGCAAGGGAAAATGACGTGCTCCCCAGTCCCCACCACCCCAATGCTCACGCGCACTATGCCCCACTTAACCCTAATTTCCAATGCTAATCTATTAGTTACATTTTATTTTTATTTTTATTTTTTTTGGTAAACATGTGAAGATTTATACCAATTTTTGAATTTTTACAGAATACAGAGATTCAACAAAGAAAACAGAAAACCAAAATCTACAAACAAACAACATTACAAAAGAACACTACAAAATAAGGGAAAAACAATGGAAATAGCAATCGATGGAGGAGGAGGAATCCCAATTCAATCGGATTTGCCACGAGTCCTCCGCACCCGAGAAACGTCCTCAAATCCTCTGACGGTGCGGGCCTACAGCTTTTCCAAACGCAAAGATCATCTTTCACCTGCACGGACAAGCCATATTGAAAGAATTTACACAAACAAGTGCCACTACCACGGAGAAACACACTTCCAAAATGTAGAACCCCCGCAGCAAAGAAAACTCGAGCTGCAACACTAGAGCCAGAGTCGATAAAGAACCAGCTTCGCTTCAGCCTATGCGCAAAGAAACTCTGAGCCACATAAAACCCGCCACAACAAATACCACCGCAACTTCGCTGGAAAAGCAAGGAGCTCTCGCCATTGGTCTCAGAACGAAGAACCCGTCTGAGCCACATCGGACCCGCCACAACGGAGAAGTAGCAGCTTCGCCGAAAAACAAGGCACCACCAGCCGCACCACCAGCCAGCGTGGTTGACCATCAGACCACTGGATCTGAGCTGCGTCAAGCGATGGGAAAACAACACCTAGACAGAAAAACAAAGACCTACCACCGGAAAAACACAGCCTGAGGAAGGAGCCAAAGTCGAAAACGGAGACGAGGCAAAAAAAAGTTCACCAACGCCGGCAGAGCTCTGACCTCCACCAGCCACCATCAGAGGAGATCGATCTCCGAGCAAGCAGCGGAGAGGATCTAACCGCCACGAACCAAACCGAGCAACAAACCCGACACGTGCAAGACCATCGAGGAGAACCTTCACTCAGACCTAAGCGCCGTCCTCAAACAATCAAGGGAAAGAGGTAGGCTGCCGAGAAGATGGAGTCGACATTGGCAGGAGGAAAGCCGCAACAAACTGCCGTCGATTTGGCCTCAGATTCTAGCCTCCGATTCGAAGAATAAAAGCCTAGATCCGTCGCCTGTACACACCGAAGATGGAAGGAACCGAACGGAGGAGACAAAGGGGGCCCTCTCACGGTGCCGGCAACGACCGCCGGCCACCGGAGAGGCGGAACGAATCGATTTGTTTGTCTACGATGTAGTCGCCTCGTTGGGAGAAAAACGTAGACGCGGATTTGCTCAGCTCTTGTTCTCTTCTCTTCTCTTAAAAAAAAACTGTTAGGGTAAACTTTTTATAGTGACAGGCCCCACCGCTAAGCGGCCCCATATCCAGAGAAAAATTCCACTTCGGCCTGGACCTACGGGTTAGTATACACCGCTTGCCCCTACTCGTATGGAGGAATTTTTATTTGGAGAAGTTTAGTACCACCGTGGTGGCAGAGTGAACTTGAGATCTCTGACACTCATCTGTGAGAAGGAAATACCACTACACCATGGACCCTTCTCTAATTAAATTTTTATTTTATTTTATTTCTATTTCTTGATTTATTAAAAGATAACTACAATTATTGTATGTATAACTGCAAAACATATGATTTACTTCTCTAGTTTAAGAAGAAAATGGTGATCCTATTTTTTTTTTTTTTTTTAGTTCCCCATGCCACAACATTCCAACACTTATCTATTTCCAAAGATTAAAAAAAAAAAAGAACAACACTTTGGTCTTGTTCCTCATTTCAATTTTTGTGTTCATGTACAATTGTTTATGCTGTCTCTTGGGTTTTACAAGCTGTATCAGAGAAACAACAATGTCTTTTCTGAAATTTCTTTCCCCATAAACGTGACGGATCTTTCCTAAAAATATTGCACCATGTGAAACCCAAGACTTGTCTAGGAAACCTCAGTAATATGAGTTGATAATTTTTTTGATCTAAAGTTCTGGTATGACGAGTTTATTAAATATGTTATGGTCTTTCTGGTGCTTAATTAGGACTTTAGCATAACCGGTATTCAATTCCACTGTTGGTTTAGAATAGACTCATAAATGGGTCCAGTTTATTTATATTTTGTATTTATAAAAAGAGATTGCACACATAGTATTGCGTTCTTGGATTCTATATAAACCATCAAACCCTATATAAAATAATACTAACTTGTGAAAATTAATTATTGCCCACTTTCTCTCTCTCTGCGATTGATTCTTGGAAAGAAAATCAAAGTC